GAACTTGATAACATATCTACTTAGAAGAAAAGAGAAAAAGAGAGAGAGTTACAAAAAAGCAAGCCTATCAGTTCGTCATAAATCCTGTTTGGCTTTGTCGTGGCACTACTGTCAATCATTTTTCTACAAATATAATGATCTAAGAAGGGTAAAAACACAATCAACTAGTTCTGATTTGACCTTCTAACTCATAAATTACAAGTTAATGAATGATTTACATTTTCACTATCCCATTTCTCTATCACTGAAGCCCAAACTAGACCATAAAAAGTCAAATCAAGGCTCAAAGAGAGCTTCCCAATATAAGCACATGGGCATGACACAAAATATGATGGAAAGAGACCAGTTGGCTTGGATATACTCATGTAATATGAAATATGAGGCGGTCAAGAATGGCTCATCTTAAACAATTCCATCAGCAACAAAACTACTGACTCAGTGTCCTGAGACTGACATCACAGGCATTGTTTCATAAATGACTGTACAAACTAGAGTTCGTGTACAGTTTTGGGGTCTAATGTCACAGCCAGACATCTAAATCTGATAGGAACACATAGCCTCGTCCCTCGTGTTGGACTGAGTTGCTCCAAATGTCTGTGACAGCTGCTCATGCAGCAGATAAGAGCTCACGCTGGTGTAGGATTCGCAGCTGACGAGATCAGTCTATGATAAATGGCCCTAATGTTGAAGACAACTGATTTTCACAACAAGAAGAGTTTATTTACATTTGCATTGCTGTAACAATATAACAGAATAGAGATAGTCTGATAATCGGTTTGATAAATATTTCTACAAATACTCGCACTTAAATGGTTAATCGGTTCTTTAACAGTTACTTTTGGAATCAGCTTAATTTTACATAAATGAACACAATTTTTGTGTTTTTAAGATCTACCGATAATGAAACCATTTGCCGAGTCTCTAACAGTGAATTAGACCGTTAGACAGGCTAAAAGTCTTAAAAAGTTAGTAACACTTCACAAATGTAATTATTATTTATTCACTTGTTAACGCCATGCCAGCATCAAGGCTATTTTCATGGCGATCTCAGAATAACACAAGGTATACAATAAACAAAAAGTTATTTAAAAAAAACAACTTTCAAATCTACACTAGACAAAAATTCAAAAATTCATTAAATCAGTTAAACTCAACACTTCACATAAATGTAAGGTGTTGAAATAATAATAATTATTTATAATTATTTACTTAGAAATAATACATTTAGAAAATAATTCAATTGTAATTACCATTATCGATAATAAATATTTGTATCACTATTATTATTGAAATATTTATAATGTGTGTCATGTTTTCATAGTTGTAATCAACTGATATTGTGTCGAAAAGCAATATTAACAATATAGCTCATTTGGTCCTACATATCAGTACCAAATATGTTTAAGTAATAAAAAAAACATAACATTGGTCGATTTCTATACCACAATACGCATAAATTACATATTATTACTTGCTCGCACTTTGTTTCATGTAAAGATAAACCTTACACTGCCTTGAAAAATTACAACGAATCTCGATTCTTGAAAAGCTCTGTGCTCTTACAGTATGCACGCTGGGTAATGAGACAACATTTTGCTCAATGCCAAAAAAATTGGCCGGTAGCCTACAGGCCATAGAACGGACGAGGTTTAAAACAGAAAGGCTGCTAAATCAAAAGTAAATCGTCAAGTCTGACTCGAAACCTGAAAGGCTGCAACAAGTCGAAACTGCTAGATTTCACCAAACACACGCATCCGAGCACGTTCCAGTGCGGAGCAGTATGGATTCCTGTCCCGGATCGTACAGTCATGACTGCGGTCAACTTTTGCCTGAACTTACCCGCTCGCTTCCTCGATTCCGGTCCTGCTCTTCTCAACACTGTTCAGATCAACTGCTGAAAATATCACACTGGAGGAGCAAAAGACGGTCCAGACACTAAATAAAGCACTGGTCTCGCCAGGCTCATTTACACATCGAGTACGAGTAATGGCATGAAACTTTCGGCTCTGCCTTCCTTTCCTCCCCCAGTCTACCCCCCCTCTTCCACGGTCCAAAAAAGTGGCACTTCCGCGATCGGATGGCTGCTTGTATCATGTGGTTTGGCGTCCATGAGAGCGCCCGCACCTGGTTCTCTCAGCGCGCGCCCTTGACCTGTTTTTCTTTTTCTTTTCTGCGATTCACAGTTGAACAAGAAACGAATTTTCCTTAAACAGATATTATGAACTCATTCATGGTCTTTATTAACAAGGAAACTACTTGAAATTATTACGTAGGCCTACCTAAAGCAAATACACGTAGCCTATACTGTTTTAATCACGGTTAACAATAACATAAAAGGAGTGTAAGAACAGTGTAAGTTTTCTTCTTCTTTCTTTTATAGGCTATTAAAAATCAAATAGTTTTAGATTCATGCCAACCTGCAAGCTCCAGTTATTAGATGATTTGTCCAGAATTAAAGCTCTCTCCTGATTTAGCCTCATGACTTTATTTATTCCGTGGAACAAAAAGGAAAATGTTAAGGAATGTCTATTTTGGTTTCTTGCATGTAATGACAAGAAAGTGTGACTAAATATGTGACGCTGGCCTGGACCACAAAAGCAGTCATAGGTAGCGCGGGTATATTTGTAGCAATGGCCAACAATACATTGTATGTTTCAAATTGATCTATTTTTCTTTTATACCAAAAATCATACGGATATTAAATAAAGATCATGTTCCATGAAGATATTTTGTAAATGTGCTACCATAAATATATCAAAACTTAGGCTAATTGTTGATTACTAATATGCATTGCTAAGAACTTAATTTGGACAACTTTAAAGATGATTTGCTCAATATTTTTTTTTTTTTTTTGCACCCTTAGATTCCAGATTTTGAAATAGTTGTATCTCGGCCAAATATTGTCCTAATAAACCATAGCCTACATCAATGGAAAACTTATTTATTCAGCTTTCAGATGTATAAATCTCATTGTCAAAAAATGGACCATTATGACTGGTTTTGTGGTCAAGGGTCACATATGTCAAGCCCCAAAACAGTCAAATCACAAATAATGTATCGTAAAAGTGGTCCATGGGCCTCATACTCTATATGGCAAGTCATGCCAATAAAGCACCAGCAAACAGAATTTGAATGAGGGCTTTCACTCAGATTTAACCCATTGCATTGGTTAAATCTACTGAAGGAATATACACATTGTGTGTTTTAAATCTGAAAAAATTCGCAGCAGCACTTTTTTTTCAAGAAATGAAACTGAATTAACTAGGTCAGTGGTCTCCAACAGGGGGAGTGCATGTGCAGCACTAGCCTACTGCAGGGGTCTGCACTATATTGCGCAATAAATAAATTCAAAATGCGTTAAATACAAAAATACAGCAGGCTATTTGAACAATATAAAATTTAGCTAAACATAGCTTGATATAAATCATGACCAGCTGTTAACAAAACTGATAAAATTATAAATCTACTTATTATTTTGCTTTGCTAGGAACTAGGAAACTTAGGGTCTGTTAGTTAGGAAACGCATGTGATGCTCAAAAGCTCTTTTTGGAATCAGCTTGATTTATCAAATGATAAGCCCTGTTTCTGTGTTTTAAGAAATAGTTGATCTGAATAATTCCAAGACTGATAACATCAAATAAGTCACCCTCAAGTCGCCACCTACTGATATAACCTGCAGAAAGGGCCACTAAACAAACCATTTCAACCATTTCAAAAGATTCGAATCACTCAAATGAATCATAATTCCCACTGAAGCGCTCGAAACGCCGCCCGCTGGGGACGCCTGCTGGTCAAAACTGTGTAACTGCAACAAAAAATCTAATCAAACATGCATAAAATTATTTTACATGCCAAATGCAAATATTTTAGTTTAATAGCTTAATCTGTTAATGCAATTAACAAATCAACTAATAGCATTACAGATGAAGTGTTTGAATAATATGTGTAAATTCATTCAATTGTAGGGCTTGTTTTGTTTGTTTCATGGAGAGCTTGGTTAACCAGGTCAATAAAAGACTATTAACTATAACACTTTCTTTTTATTATACAAATGTGTCATTGAAATCTGTACAAATTTATGAAACATGGCAAAACATTGACATTTTAAAAGGTTTCTAAACAGTTTTGACGTAACGAAGCCTCATCTATTGACACCACGTGATCGTGGCAGTTTGATACACGCTCCGAATCCCAGGTTCGAAACAGATGGTTCCCAAACGTCCTAACGCTTCGCGAAGCAGCGGTTTGAATGCGCCCATCACCAGGGAACCCACGGTTCGGATCTGCTAGTTCTCTTCCGGGATTGAGTTGAGGACTACAAACTGAACACAGCTCTGTTCACAACAGAAGAAAGTGCACGCAAACTTGATTGGTTTCGCGTGGCGGTGGATTTTTCAAAATGGTGCGCGTGTGTGCTTATCCTGGATGCTTCAACCAAGAGAAATCCGTGAGACTCCGTCAGTGGGCGTCAATGCAAGAGGAAAGCCTGACTTTTCACACATTGCCCCTGCACGATCCAGAAAGACTGAAACTGTGGCTGATCGCCCTTCAACGAGAAACCGGATCACCAATGCAGTCTATCCGTGGATTGAGGGTGTGCAGCCAACATTTTTCACCATCCGATTTCAGTGTAGCCAAAGGAAATAAACGACGCTTGAATTCAACAGCTGTACCTAAGCTGTTTGTAAAACAAAGATTTGAGGTAGGTGTGGAATACAAATGTACCATAATCATATGATTTCCTATGGACATGATAAGGATCTCAGGGGGCGATCTAACGTTACGTTAAAGGTAAAAAAGTTCCAGAGATGTAACTAAGTGGTGCAACCGGTGCTTTATCATGAATGTCCAGCAGCACTGCAGTGTATTTAGTGTGCGGTGTCTAGACTTCCGAAGTAAACATATTACACATAGCGTACTATTAAAATTACATTAAAAACACATTTAAATATCAGAAATATTTGTGTGTGTGTGTGTCAAAGCTGCTTTCAAGTGGTCATATGACTAACTGCAGAAGAAAACTAAGCTGATTTTACATATAAATGATTTAGCAATTATTCAAAGAGACAATTAAATGTAGCATTACATAGAATCACCCTGTACATTTTGTAAAGGATGTCTGCAAATAATCTGCTTCCACTTCCCGGGGAAGGTACCGCCCTCTTTACGCTGATTGGTTAGTTTATTAAAGCAGTAGTGCAACGTCTCGCATCGATTGGCCAAGGGACGTCACGTGACCGGAGGAGTGCAATCAAGTATTCTTACTGGTATATGTAACTGGTGTTGTAAGGGTGAGTTATCGACCAGGAGTAAATAATTACAAATCAAGTACGGCTTTTAAAGTAGTAGTAAGTAGCATCCCGATTCTGTATTATATATATGCGTTTGCATGAGCTAGTATCGTTAGTTGCTATCAATGTTTACGGCTGATTTGCTTACAGCGTTCATGACACAAGCATGCGGAACACTCGGGACTTTGTTCATATAACCGTGACAGTAGCGTTACCTGGAGATCATGGTGACTGTACAGTTTGAGCAGATGTAATGTTATCATTGATTTGCCTGACTCATTCTTGAATGAGATTAGAGCTTCATTGAATAACATTTAGTTGGCCACGAAATCCGGACTGAACCCAGGATTCAGTTTCGTGCCTTCCAGGTCAGGGAAGCGAACTATTCTGCCAACAAACTTTACTTAGGACATATATTAGACATTTCTATAAATATCCAGCTGATTTGTTAGAACAGATCAGATAATTAGACGTGGATAATTATGCCGCTACAAGAATGTTATTACAGTTTTTTTTCTTTCTGACATGTACTTTGTTTCTTTGTAAACCACCTTAATAAACTATTAAGCTATATAAACTATCTAAACTAGACGTGTTTTCAAGACTTTTAAAACTTTGCAATACGTTTTTATTGTCTACATTTTTCTGTTGACTTTTAACAATTTAATATATTATCTTGCTTGTTTGTAGGGCTGCACAATTTGGTCAATTTTTCTGATGTCTATATATATATATCAGTATGAAAATAACAATGTATTATTAACAAATCAAGTATTAAGCAAACAAGAAATATTGCTGTTGCAGTATTTCACTAGAAATAAGCAAATCAAGTATTTAAGAAAAATAAAAATGAGAACATTTTTATTTTACATCACAGCTGTACAATTGCAACACTAGTATTTATGGTCTTAATTTATTCATTTTCAAACGTTTTGAAATTTTATTTTTTTACTGAAAACCACAGAGAGCCTTAAAGCCTCTCTTTTGTTGACAACTGCCTGTTTATACACTTAAGCACTTACGAGTTTTAAGTTGTTTGGTGCGTTTTTAAATGCGTGTTATAAATGATCCAAAAACATTCAGAGATGAGATTGTGTGGAGCAGCATTTACCTTGAATCAAGACCCTGGAAACACAGGATCACGAGCTGCTTGTGTGTAAGTGAACACAGTGCAGTGCTAATTCTGCTAAACCCTGAAACATTCAGAGCTTATATTTATTTAATTAAACTGCAGCACTGAGCCATATCACAATTTTGGTTTCATTGCGATCAACCATGGAGTCCTACTTTCTGTGAATTGTTTTTAAATTTAAGGTATCTTGGTTTCATGTTTAAATATCTATAGAAGATTATAGCTCTAGAGAAATTGATTTCTGTCCACACTTTTGGTATGTTTGATATTCAGTCTTGAAAATAAACTTTTTTTTTTAATTGATAGATTTATTAAAAGTCAAATAAAGACTAGTTTTATTGCTCAGACTTTTGTGCTTGTTTCCAACAGACCCTCTCCATCTGTCTCTTCCTTTTTCTTTCTTTGCCTTTCTCCTGTGTCATAATTTTCGGCTGAATGCAGCAGGCTTTGCCTCGGATTAGTAGAGTAGCTAAGAGGGTTCAGCGAATTGGAGCCCAAATCATCCCAATGGCTCAGAACTGCAATGCATCCTCCACGCAGAAAGATGGTGCTGTCACAGCAGCTGTTCTCATCATAGGAGATGAGATCCTCAAGGTAATTTACAATAGCTGTTGATTATAGTCACAATTAACACTTTATCTTGTATATACAGTTATTTTTCTGACCGTTGAGGGCTCTATATGGATTTTGTTTATCTGTTGTCCAACCATTGACACATGCAGGGAGGTTTCCACTTTGGCACAGTTATTTATCTCTTCTAGAATCATTAGAAAGCAATATTTTAAAAACTTTTGGTTTATATGCTTACATTGCAGGGTCACACTGTTGACACTAACAGTGCCTTCTTGTGCCGTGGGCTTCGCAAGCTTGGCATCACCATAGAGCGAATCACTGTGGTACCTGACGTCCAGGAAGTCATTGCTAAAGAAGTGGCACAGCTTTCCTCCTCCGTTACTCACCTCATCACATCTGGTGGCATCGGTCCCACCCATGACGATGTCACTTTTGAGAGTGTTGCTATGGCATTTGGCGAAGGTCTGCATGCTCACCCTGAACTGACAAAGCTAGTAGAGGGGTTCTTTGGCCCGGTCACTACCAACAGTGCCCAAATGAAGCTTGCCATGGTTCCTGTTTCTGCCAAACTCAATTTTGGCATAGACCCTCAGACAGGCCAGCGAAATCGCTTCCCACTAGTCAGTGTCCGCAATGTATACATATTTCCGGGCATCCCCTCTCTGCTGGAAAAGTCTTTCAGTGGCCTTACCCATCTGTTTTCAGGTTCTGGTACCACCTTTCACACCCGTGAGGTGTTTGTGAATGTGGATGAGACTGATATCGCCCAGTGTCTAACAAAACTGCAGGCAGGTTGGGGCAAGCGCGTCTCTCTGGGCTCTTACCCAGACTGGCTTAGTAATTATCATCGTGTCCGATTGGTTTTGGACTCTGACAGTGCAGAAGAGGTGGAACGAGCAAGAACTCAACTGATAGAAGAGCTGCCTGAAGGCTCTGTGGTTCCTCTTGTCACGGACCCGGTGTCAGTCACAGCTGAAGAAGTGTACGCGCTCTCGAAAAGTGGTGAGCTTCTTTATAACCGTATCTGAGTGCTGTCAGTTACATGTATTCGATCTTGACCAGTTTAAATCTCAATTTAAATCAGTTGAGAATAACCTTGTTAAACATGTATACCAAATATCTCACAGAGACAGTGCTGGGGAAGAAAGTAGCTGCAGCACTGGGGACCATTGAGATGGCGCTGGAGAAATACTCGACTAATGAAATCTGTGTTGGCTTCAATGGTGGCAAGGACTGCACAGCTCTACTGCATTTATATTATGCTGTTCTGAAACGGTAAGAAAGATTAAATAGAAAATAGAGCATGTGGACCAAATTAAATTACAGTTGGCAAAATTTTGCATAGTATCCCCTTTTTTATTTTTAGACATTAGAGTGACCTCAAAATGTATTAAACGCACTTAAAGGTATAGTTCACCCAAAAATCTGTTATAATTTACTTACCCTCTAGTTATTCCAGTTTCTTTCTTCTGTTGAACACAAAAGAATGTTGGTAACCCAACAGTTGTTGGTATCCATTGACTTCTATAGTATGGAATAAAATAATGGAAGTCGATGACTTCCAGCTACTCTTTGGTTGCCAACATTAATATAACAGTGTTATTAATAAATATTAACACATGTATTTAATGTATTTAATAAATAAGATATCAAAACAAATGACATTGGTTTTAAAGGTATAGTTTACTAAAAAAAAAAAAAATTAATTCGTCATCCTCATGTTGTTACAAACCTTTATGGCTTTCTTTATTTTGTTGAATACAAAATAAAATTTTCCCTCATGGGTTCCACCAAAACTACACTGGCTTTAATTGCTCGGACAACAAATAGACATTTTTCAAAATAAATGCTTTTATGTTTCACAGAAGAAGTAAAGCCATGTTTGGGAAGACATGAAGATGAGTAAATGAAATGAACTATCCCTTTCAGACAGCACAAGCATACCTTCCAAAAATTATATTACAGAAATAGATGCTTGTTTTAAGTGTTTTAAGTTCTGGTTGTCAAACGCTAGTGTATCTTCACACATATCAGACATTCAGTTAAAGTATAAGTTCACTTCCAGAATAACAATTTCCTGATAATTTACTCACCCCCATGTCATCCAAGATGTTCATGTCTTCAGTTGCAATTAAAGCAATTAAGGTTTTTGAGGAAACCATTCCTGGATTTTTCTCTAAATAGTGGACTTCAGTGGGAGCCAATGGGTTTAAGGTCTAAATTGCAATTTCAGTGGAGCTTCAAAGGGCTCTACACGATGATCCCAGTCGAGGAATAAGGGTCTTATCTAGCCAAATGATCAGTCATTTTCTTAAAACCAAAAATTCTTAAATTCTTAAATTAATACATTTTAAACACAAATGCTCGTCTTACACTAGCTCGACCTCATGCATTACGTAATTATGTTTGAAAGATCACGCGTGACGTAGACAGAGGTTCAGACCCAGTGTTTACAAAGCGAACGTTTCCAGCACTGCCTTAACCCTCTTGGGCATGGAGTTCACCAGAGCTTCACAGGTTGCCACTGGAGTCCTCTTCCACTCCTCCATGACGACATCACGGAGCTGGTGGATGTTAGAGACCTTGCGCTCCTCCACCTTCCGTTTGAGGATGCCCATGCTTGGCCAATTCATCACCTTTACCCTCAGCTTCTTTAGCAAGGCAGTGGTCGTCTTGGAGGTGTGTTTGGGGTCATTATCTTGTTGGAATACTGCCCTGCAGCCCAGTCTCCAAAGGGAGGGGATTATGCTCTGCTTCAGTATGTCACAGTACATGTTGGCATTCATGGTTCCCTCAATGAACTGTAGCTCCCCACTGCCGGTAGCAATCATGCAGCCCCAGACCATGACACTCCCACCACCATGCTTGACTGTAGGCAAGACACACTTGTCTTTGTACTCCTCACCTGGTTGCCGCCACACAGGCTTGACACCATCTGAACCAAAAGTTTATCTTGGTCTCATCAGACCACAGGACATGCTTCCAGTAATCCATGTCCTTAGTCTGCTTGTCTTCAGCAAACTGTTTGCGGGCTTTCTTGTGCATCATCTTTAGAAGAGGCTTCCTTCTGGGACGACAGCCATGCAGACCAATTTGATGCAGTGTGCGGTAAATGGTCTGAGCACTGACAGGCTGACCCCCCCACCCCTTCAACCTCTGCAGCAATGCTGGCAGCACTCATACGTCTATTTCCCAAACACAACCTCTGGATATGATGCTGAGCACGTGCACTCAACTTTTTTGGTCGACCATGGCGAGGCCTGTTCTGAGTGGAACCTGTCCTGTTAAACCGCTGTATGGTCTTGGCCACCGTGCTGCAGCTCAGTTTCAGGGTCTTGGCAATCTTCTTATAGCCTACGCCATCTTTATGTAGAGCAACAATTCTTTTTTTCAGATCCTCAGAGTTCTTTGCCATGAGGTGCCATGTTGAACTTCCAGTGACCAGTGTGAGAGTGAGAACACCAAATTTAACACACCTGCTCCCTTTTCACACCTGAGACCTTGTAACACCAATGAGTCACATGACACCGGGGAGAGAAAATGGCATTTTCACTTAAGGGTGTACTCACTTTTGTGGCCAGCGGTTTAGACATTAATGGCTGTGTGTTGAGTTATTTTGAGGGGACAGCAAATTTACACTGTTATACAAGCTGTACACTCACTACTTTACATTGTAGCAAAGTGTAATTTCTTCAGTGTTGTCACATGAAAAGATATAATAAAATATTTACAAAAATGTGAGGGGTGTAATCACTTCTGTGAGATACTGTACATCCAAATCTCTCTCTCTCTCTTTCTCTCTCTCAGGCGGTATCCAGATAGTAGAGACAGATTGAGAGCTCTTTACATTCGAATTGTCTCTCCTTTTCCAGAAATGGAGAGGTTTTTGCAGGATACAATCAAAAGGTAAGACAAGTTGCCTTAAAAAATAAAAAGTAGGTACTGCAGTGATCTAAAGTAGGAGATAACCAAAATCTGAAATGGTTTTCTTTTCTCCCGAGTAGGTAAATCACAGACTGGATTCTCTGGCATTTCTCCCAGACCTTTTTGTCTGCATCAGACACAAGCATATCTGTAAACATATGATTTTGTCATGTCTGATTCAGACAATTATTTTGACATTTCTGAATTGTGAAATTTTCCAGACATGCTTTGAGCAGTTTTACAACTGTTACACTAATGTTAGAATCACCAGTCCTGCTTGTTTATCCACATACGATATGGGATCTGGCACCAGTTAGTAAGTGAAATGTCTTAACCAAATCACTTGAGTGAGACTTTCAAGGGAGATGTGCCATCTGTAAGCCGTAACAGCCTCGACAAACCAGTTGCAGCCTGTTCCTTAACTGTGATGAGTTGAACATGGATCCAGGTCTCATTAATTCATTAGTGTCCATCAAAGCTCCATAGGTGTAATTATTTGGCATCTCTTCCTCTTTCTTCTATAGATATGACCTGGAGCTGTTCTCAGTGGAGGGTAATATTCGGCAGGCTCTGCATGAGGTCCGGGAAAGGAGGCCAGATTTACAGGCGGTTCTGATGGGAACGAGACGGACCGACCCTTACTCGCACACACTGACACCCCTCTGTCCCACAGACCCGGGCTGGCCTGAATACATGAGGGTCAACCCACTGCTGGTGAGGGGGAAAGAATATATATATTTGTGCTGCTTTAATATTTAAATTTTTTTTTTTTTTACTGCCTCAAACTTTTGAATGGTAAAGTTACATTTAAAAAGTCTCTTCCACTTTATTAAAAGGTAAAGGGTTTGTTCACCCAAAAATTTATTATTTAATTACTCACCCTCATGTCATTCCAATCCCGAAAGACCTTCGTTCATCTTCGGAACACAAATTAAGATATTTTTGCTGCAATCCGAGAGCTCTCTGACCCTCCCATAGACGGCAACACAGCTGTAATGTTCCCAAGTCCAGAAACGTAGCAAGGAAATCTGTAAAATAGTCCATGTGACATCAGGGGTTCAACAGTAATTTTATGAAGCAACGAGAATACTGTTTATTTTTTTATTTTTTGTACAAAGAAAACAAAAATAATGACTTTATTCAACAACTCTTCTCCTCAACCCGTCTGCAGCAGTGTGCCGCTGTTCTGACGATTTCTGCTACCCGCTTAGATTGTGCTACCTCCCATTAAAAAGATAGGTAGCACAAATTGATAGTGAAAAATGTTACCTATCTGATTGTGCTACCAGCATCTTATTCATGTGGTGGAAATTGAGGCTTTTTTAATGTCCATACCTAAACTTACCCGTCCCTACCTACCCTTACCCTAAACTTACCCTTAAAACAATGTAAATATATTTTTGGTAGCACAATCTGATAGGTAGCATGTTTCGTCGGTACACTGCCATTATGGAGAGTATCACGAGAGTATGCGCTTGCTTCTGTATCATGTAAACGACGTATAAGCGTGCTGACGCATGGTGTTTACTCGAACAATAAATTAAGTGATTGGGTTTCTGTTTGTGTTTATATGCCAAAAGCTTTAAATCGGATTTAATGTTCTGACATGCGCACACAACAAAAAAAATATACAGAGTTTTCCCGCTGGTTTAAGAAGTGCATACTAGCCATCCTCCTGCTACTTGTCTTTATTTTAAAAAGCAGACTTAATATTTATATATTTCAGGAGACGACAAACACATGAAGCTTTGTGCTGCACTGCTTATATTTATCAAGCAATAAAACCCTTCCCGTGCCCGAAACAAGGAGCCCCAAGCAAGGACTGGTGGGACCGCATTACTGCCCTGCACCACTTCACAGACAATACGTAGAAAACATTTTTAGACTGACACTTACGATTAATTTATGATTCACTTCTGACACTTATGATTCAATAACAACAGCCCTTTCTATGTCGGTACGTCATTACACCACAGTGTTTCCCATACATTGATTTATTTGTGGCGCCCGCCACAATATCAAAACCGAACAAATAGATTTTCCAAATGGCTTTGACTTCGTTGAATAAACATGAGCACTGCGCGTTTCAAAACTGAAACCCGGTGTGGGTGTGTTTATTTCACTGCATTTCTGAAGAAAAACTGACTATCTTCAGAAAATTTTGATTTCATTTTCATTTCCTCTTGCGTGTAATCAGGGTTGCCAGGTTTTCACAAGAAAACCCGCCTAATCACTACTCAAAACTAGCCCAATTGCGTTTCGAGGGGGTCCCCAGTTAAAAATCGCGTTCGGGGGTAAAATACACGTTTTTTTGGCGGGGTTCCCCTGCTAAAATTCGCATTCCAGGGGATAAATATCATGTTATTGGAGTCGCTTCACCCCTCGGACATGAAAAACAACCTGTGGCAACAGTGTTAAAGTAGCCCAATTCCGCGGGAAAACCATGGACTTGGCAACACTGCATGTAATGTCTGATAAAGCAGCATTTGTGAGCTGAGCGCTGCTTTGTGTACAGCCATTACCGGGGAAACCTTGATCGCTACCACTCCAACAGCGCCTCCTGCTGGCAGAGAAAGAATTTGTGTGTATATATATATATATATATATATATACTGCCACAAATAGAGTGCAAGTCTGTGGGAAACACTGCCATTTCTGCATCATTGCACAACTTTCCAGTTTCTGTTTTCAATCCGATCAAGTGTATACATGTCCTGTTGCACGGATTAGGAAAAGTTTAAACCACCCCTTACAATCATCGGCTTATTTCCATTGTGGTCCTCTGTATTTTAAAAAATGGACGAACAAATCATAAATGGATCAACTTGATGTTGATCAAGTTCAGAACTCGCCACACAAACTTCAAAACAACAATGATAAAACATCAAATTTTTAACTTCCCTTCTAACAATACTATCATATTGTATCTCTTGAATACACCCAGGTAATTTATTCCAAGCAACAGAGCTAGTATATAAAAAATATATATATTTTTTTAAACTTTGGAATTTTTGGTTTATTTGGTTCATTTTAACCTTAAATTTTATAGTAATATACCAACTGAAAGGAATCCCTGTATAGTGTAACTTTTACAGCAGTTGATTTGAATCAAATTGTAATGTAATTGAATCGATGAGCTTGTGAATTTAAATTGAATCGATTCCTGAAATCTGTCAATACCCAGCCCTTACATGTTTTTTTTTATTGACTTGGTTCTAAATTTGTTGTATATTTAATCCTATAATTTTGTTGTGTAACCATACAGTGGTGTGGAAAGGTTTTTGCCCCCTTTCTGTTTTTTTCTTTTTTTTCATATTTGTCACACTTAAAGGATTCAGATCATCAAACAAATTTTAATATTACACAAAGATAATGCAAGTAAATGAAAAATTCAGTTTTTAAATTATGATTTATTTTATTAAGGGAAAAAAGCTGTCCAAACCTGCCTGGCCCAACGTGAAAAAGTAATTGCCCCCTAAATCTAATAACTGGTTGTGCCACGCTTTGCAGCAACAACTGCAATCAAGTGTTTGCGATAACTGGCATAAAAATTTAAAAGTTTAAAAACAGGAAGGGGGCAAAAACCTTTTCACACCACTATATATGTGTACACATGTATAATCACAGAGACAAACAAAAAAAGAGGCATAAACCTATCGCCTATCTTCCCACCTTTCCTGTAGTGTCTAAACTGACTGCACAGTCAGTAAATCACTGTCATGTCTCCCACTCACTCTCATGTAAGCTGGCAGCAGAAACAGCCAAGAGATGGTGAATGATGATGAATGAGGCTCTCCAAGATCATTACACAGCAACTCCATCATCCCAATCAGTGGTGCTTATGTAAAAGACACGGCAGTACAGCGTTCTCAGAATTACAAATGACCCTGGATCCATGTTACTTCTGAATGTTTGCTTCATATCCACCATCTCTTTCCCTTTCTGCAGGAATGGACATATCATGACATCTGGTCGTTCCTCAGAACTTTATATGTGCCTTACTGTATTCTGTATGACAAAGGGTGAGGTGCTTCTCTTCACAGTCAGTCTCACTCATTAAATGAGATTATCTTCATGGTTTGCTTACGCTGTTCTCCCTCTTCCTCACAGTTACACTTCTTTAGGCAGTATGGATAACACATGCAGGAATCCATCTCTTAAAGTGGTGGACCAGAGAGGTGTGACTTGCTACAAACCTGCCCACAAGCTGGAAAATGAGGAGGAGGAACGCAACTCAAGGGCATGACTGACTGACTTAGACATCTTAATCATTTTTTTTGTTTGTTTTTAAAGAAGACTCAATGACAAGTGCAACTGAGGACATTTTGAAGAAGGAACTGAATCTGAAATAGCCTATCAGAAACAGTTCTTGAAAAAACCTGTAGTTTGTGTATTGTCTATGAATGGTGGTGCGTAGAAATGTGACTGTTGTTTTTAAGATTTATATTAAAACGGTAGCTTATCAAAGTGTCTTGTTTTTCATATCAATTTTGGTAATATTATTGTAAACCATCAAGACTCGTGTTTTGTATCTTTGAAAAAAAGTGTGAGTAACTGCGCGCGATTTTTCTGTTTTAGCACATCCAAGTTTTTACGTTAGAGAAAAGAACAAGCTAGTTAAGTAATTCGTTGATAACATGTAGATGTCTGGAGAGCAGTCTATAATAAGCGCACTTCATCTTCGTTCACTTACACCCAGCGCCCCAGTTAATGAAATGCAATGGCAGTTTCCGGCCTCACGAGTGCGATGTAGTCCCGTTGTACATTTAAAATGGTGATTACAAGAAATTACTCTGTATCCAAGCTAGAGTTAATCCAAGACTATCGATCTCGAAATTGGTCAGCGGTCTGGCAACGGGAATCGATGCGGTGGATTCTAATAAAGAAACGGACGCGCGGCTGTTACCTCTGATTACCAGCAGCACCATCATCTTAATGTTTCAGGCAATTGCCCTTTTTCTTTTATTCTTAGTCTTAGACGATTTAATTAATAAGAATGGTTATTTATTAATAGTTAGAAATAGCATCAATGTGTAATTAATGGAAATAAATAGAAAGATTTGTTAATTTGGTTCCCAGCACATAAGTCAAAGAAGCCCCATATGGGCTAAAGCTTTACAAGGATGGATGGATGGATAAATACGTACATACGGAGTAAAATGAATAAATGTAAAGTTTACTTAACCCGGGGTAAGATGGCCCCCTGAAAATGGGGCAAATAAAGCACCCCGGAGCATCTTGTCTCAAAATATTAGGTTGGTTGAAAATGTTAAAGATAAAGAGTGAGTGAGAGTGAATTAACTTTAGTTTACCTCAGCTTCAGGATGAAGTAGTCTGAGAGAAAGTATGGGGGAGGTACTTCTACAAATTAAAGACAAATTTGTGAGCTAAACCCGAAAAAAATTGTTTTGGGGACATCCAGGGACATACTCATTTGTAAAAACGATATATAAAAAAAAATTAAGAAAATAAAAATCTAAGGTTTCACAGACGGGGTTTAGACTAAACCAGGATTAGGCCACAGTTCAATTAGGACATTTAAGTAATTTTTATAAACGTGCCTTAGAAAAAACATCACTGGTGTCCATCTTGAGACAAAACAAAGGCATTGATATATTTTAAGAGCAATCAGTGCAAGTTTCTTTCATCTGAAACGGCTCAGATTTACATTTTATTCTGGGACTAGGTTTAAGCCTTGTTTGTGAAACCGGGGGGAAAAGTACAAAAAAATAATTTATATATTTATAATTATCGGTACAAAAATAAATAACCAAGTTAACGTGTGTGTGTGTGTGTATATTGGAATCCTGTTATTTATGTTGTTATTTCAGCAATACTACAAATATTACTATAAACTTTGGGACACTAAAAGTCATCACAATCTAAAACTGAATAATTCAGTCTCACTGCAGTGTAACTTGCTATATTGTGACATGTTTTCAGGTTTACAGTGTTGAATGTAAATGCCTTTCACCTCTCTCTGTAACTCTATTTGTCAATAAGAAACATCCAATTTCAATTAATTTATTCAAATTACATTGCCAAGATACACAATTTTAACAATTTAGTTGGATTTTCTAAAAATACAATTATCGGTCCAGGGGTGTAGGCAGCATATGGGCCTGACAGGCACAGGCCCACCCACTTTGATGAATAGGCCCCCCAGTTTAGTATACAAATTTAATATTTGTTAAATAATTATTACATTTTTACACAATTACAAAACAATTATAACATAATAACTAAAATAAAACGTTTTTGCCATATTCTTGATGAGTTTGATTGACAGCTTGATTGATTGATAGTGTTTGGCTATTGTGTTATCCAGGCTGTCTCAGGCATGTCGCACCTGTGAATTTGTGTGTGTTCACCTATTCAGTTAGCCTGTAATTTGCAGCATGTGTTAGAAAATGTTAGAAAAACCACAGCAATGCATAATTCTGTAAAAAGGACTTTTAAAAACTTGCACTGACGGGAGATAACCCGTCCATCAGCCCGCAAGTAGCCTAAGACTTTTCAGTTCCAAACACACATAAATAGACATGAATAGGCAAAAACAATTAATCACCAATGAATGTTTTTTACCAAACTTTGTATAAAGATGATTCTCAACTATTATGAACGATGTAACAATGATTTGATATACCATTTTGCTTAATGTAATGTGTGTAAAATGGCCATAAGAGGGTTTTTCCATGTATCTACACTGTATCTAATTTGCATATTAATGTGTTCTTGACAACATGCCAACATGTAATAAAAAAAAAGTTTAATATTGGGAGTAATAAATGGCAAGATTTTCATAACAATATCTAATATTTCATATATATTTAAATATAATTTTTTCCCTATTCATTTGTTGTGTCCCAAAATGTGTAATATGTAATATATATATATATATATTCCTTTCATTAAAACCATTCAAATCATATTGAGAGGGCAAGGGCAAGGCTGCAGCACATCCTCTCAGGATGCAAAGTTGCATTGACAGGTACGATTCAGGTAGAGCTGAGGGTAAGAGAGTCTTCATCATTGAGCTGACTATTTTGTGGGAAGAAAACATCAGAGCAGCCCATGAAAGGAAACATCTAAAGTATTCCGAGTTGGCAGCAGAGTGCCAGGAGGCAGGCTGGAATGCTAAGGTTTACCCTGTGGAGGTCGAATGCCGGGGCTTCATCAGTAGAGCAATGGTGCAAGTACTCTGTGAGTCTGGCATGGTGGGGGGAAACCTGCGGAAGGCGGTGAAGGAGCTGGAGGAAGAGGCAGAGAAAGTCAGCTATTACAGCTGTAATATATCTTATGATAACATTTTACAGAGCTGTGTCACAAGCTAAATGCACATAAGTGCAAAGGTTGAATTGGTTTTAGTTAGGGAAATCAATGTTATACTTTGTTCTTATTCTTACGTCCATGAATCTAACTAATTTTCTCTCAATCAATCTCTCTGTTTGTCTTCATTACTTTAATTACTGGAATAACTATACCTATCAGAAGTGGGTGTCCAGAAATACTGATGCAAAGTACAAAATGTCATATCTTTTGTCTTTATCAGAATCATATTTCAGTCGTGCTTTATTCCAGCATGACTCATGTAACTGTACTTAAGGAGTGGCAACTTATTTTCTACGATACTCATATGAAAGGCTGAATCATCACTCACTCTTGTCAACAACTGACAGTACAGCACCATATATACATAAAAAAATAATTTTGAGTTTCTCACAACCACCCAACTTCAGAAAGGTGAGTTTGATATATTTTATATTGTGTTATATTGCGTGTATGTATACATAGGCTATTAATGGAGATATTGTATGCAGAATTTAAATATAGATTCAAGAGCAGTATTTGACTGTTCATTAAAATTGTGTGGGTACTTTTAACAGCACGCAAACTATAGATTAAACTGAAAAATGATTGTAAATGAAGTAAATAAAAATAAGATTATTATAGTATGTTTTAAGAAAATACTGTTTCAGTCTTTTTACTTAAAAATGTCTTGTTTATTTCAATGTTACTTGCAGTTTCTTTGTAATTATTTTTGAAATTTACAAGCAATTTCTGAGAGAAAATTGATTAAAAGGAAATCATACAACTTTTTTTCAGTGTTCACTCCTGTTTAAATAGAATTATTTTATGAGATTAAAGTACATTTTGGTGTCTTATTAATAAAGAGAGATCATTATTGCACCATTTGTTGGTTGCTTTTGGCATCTGATAGAGCATTTATACTGTAAACATTAGTTCTCATTAATTTGACTCTTTAGTGAGTTTTTAATATTCTCTATTTGCTGGGGTGGTAATATTATATATTAATATGAAAGGGGGGGCCCAAAAAATTATTTTGTCTATGTCACGATAATATAATAATCTTGGTATTCTCACAACTGCCCAGCTACAAAAAGGTGAGTTTGATATATTTTTAATGGAATGTAAGTTCCCAGTAGGAGAACCTGCACAATTTTTTTTAATGAAAGTTATTTCAAAGCTGTATTATGTCAATTTAACACACTTTGATGGATAATTTCTACACAAGTTCAAGTAAGAAAATATAAAAGTGTAACTTAGAATACTATTAATAATACATTTTTCATGAATTCTTCAGAAAGACATTGTTTATTAGTAAACAAATATGTTGGTTTTGTTTTAGGGTCTTTTTAGGTCATTTTCAAAATGAGTAAAAACATTCTAAACAATAGACTGAGTGCTCTATAAATTATTTACAGTATTAGTATCTTAACATGCTATTTCATTGCTATTGAAATGAAATTGTCTGAATGACTTTTTTTAATTTTTATTCCTTCTCTAAAGCATCATAAATAATGGAACCACCAAAACATCAGTCACTTAGTTTTGTCTCTTGGAACACTATGGGAATAAGGTACACAAAAGGAACAAACTCCAAGCTCCAACTTGTGTTGGATGAACTAATCAGACTGAAGGCTGATGTTGTCTTTTTACAAGAAACACACATTGAACCACGGTCTTATGAAGTACCCGAGAGCATAAAAGGCTGGAGGACTTTCTTCACTGTCCACCATCCCCGCAGCAAAGGAGTCGCTATCTTAATAAAGAATGAAAAGACATTTAATTACATATGCCATGATGAAGATTACAGTGGAGGCTATATTGTCCTCTTCTGTCATCTCTATGGTCAGTTGTATACCCTTGTTAATGTGTACAACCACAAGGCAGACAGACAAATGCTGTACAGATTGAGAGACTATTTGACAGCTATTAACACTAAAGGTGTGCTTGTGGTTGGTGGGGACTTCCAACTTGTGTTGGATGAACTAATCAGACTGAAGGCTGATGTTGTCTTTTTACAAGAAACACACATTGAACCACGGTCTTATGAAGTACTCGAGAGCATAAAAGGCTGGAGGACTTTCTTCACTGTCCACCATCCCCGCAGCAAAGGAGTCGCTATCTTAATAAAGAATGAAAAGACATGGTTGGTGGGGACTTCAACACAGTACTGGACCCAACTTTTGATAGGAGACCAGCAGCAGATCAAACGTTCCATTCCTCACTTAGACGCATTCTAGAAGATTTCACAGAATCTCTGAGCCTCAAAGACATATTTGCATTAATGCATCCAATGGAAGAAGGCTTCACACGATCTCAGAATCAAAGTCACTCAAGGTTGGATATGTTTTTCATGCCAACTAACACAATGCATTATGTCATAAACTGTATGAATCACAAATCCCCAACTGAAAAGAAGAGAATCTCTGATCACAATCCTCTAGTCTTAGATATCAAAGTTCCATCACTGCTGGAATATAAAATGCCGGAAGTTGCCTCATTGTTAATAAAATGTAAATACCGTGAAGCTCCAGACAGAAGAGCAGGCAAAATAAATGGTGCAGAAATACTGAGTGCTATCAGATCTTTGCCTGACTCACAACAACAAATTCCTGATGAACTCAGTGTCTATCACTACAAGAGGATAGACCTTCCATTCACAGAACTCTTAAAGTTAATATACAATAGGAGGTTGAAGTCTAAATGTGTTCCTAAATCTTTTGTAAAATCATTGCCTGTTCCAGACAATATGCATTGTTTCAGAGTTGACTATTTGATTTTCACTCACATTTTAGCCAAACGCCTTATGGTGTTTTTAACACCATCTTTTAGGGAAAGAAACAGGGTGGCACGTGGTGTTTGCTTTTGTGTGACTTTTGCAGAACGCCCCCAACATATCAAGATGTCTTTCCTAAATCAAAGTCTCTCATCTCTTAAGCAAATGAACCCTACACCACCGAAAGACTTCAGCATTCTGGAGAATCTCCTCCCCAGGTCCAGCCACTCCGATCATGACTACAGAACTCTGCGTCAAGGCTGCCCACTCACCACACCCATCCTCATACTGGCCTTGAAACAACTGGAAAGTGACATAATGGCAACCAGTAAAAGCACTGGCAACACTAGTCTCAGCATTACCAGAGAGTCTCTGCTGATTTATACAGATAATCTGAAAACTGGCACGATGTTTGAATTGTTTGAACATTTTGAGAAATGTTCTGGTATAAAACTAAAGTTGAAAAAAAAAGGTCTAAAGTTAAAGTTTCAAGCCCAAAATGTTCTTGAGTTATCTGCTGACTGCTATGTCTCTGGCACAGTACGCATGACACAAATTTGATCATCCGCTCAGTCTGTTCAACTGTGTACACATGAAGTTGTAGCAGATGAAAAGAGGAAGCATACCAAGCTGATGATACACTCTTAAAAATAAAGGTGCTTCACGATGCCATAGAAGAACCTTTTTGTCTAAATGGTTCCATAAAGAACCTTTAACATCTGAAGAACCTTTCTGTTTCACACAAGGTTCTTTGGGGCGAAAGAAGGTTATTCAGATTATAAAAAGGTAAGAAAGAAATGGTTCTTTAAAGAACCTTTGACTGAATGGTTCTTTGTGGAACCAAAAATGGTTCTTCTATGGCATCGCTTGAAGAACCTTTTGAAGCACCTTTATTTTTAAGAGTGTACACGAGACAATGTTGAGCAATGTTGCTGTCAACAGACAACCAGGTGAGACACAGGGCCCACAACTGATCTAAATAGACATTTGTTACTCGCTCTCAATGGGAAAGTGCCCAAACAACATTGCTCAAAAAAAGTTGCCCTGCTTTTCATCAGCCTTAGACTTTTATATCATTTTTAAGGATTTCCTTTAAGTAACTAAATGTGACAACCTCTTTTTGAGGACATCCAATAAACAAGTTATAAATATAGCAACAAGCGGCAGTCATCGAGTACAAATTTCAATGGCTCATGGATGATTAGCGATCTAACTGAAATGTATCTTATGATGTGGTTTTTACAGCCTGATGTAAATATTATATTATATACAATGATATAGTACCATAAATACTATGGAAGTCAATGTCTACTGTCAACTGTTTGATTACACATCATTCTTCAAATATCTTCTTTTGTGTTCAAAAGCTGAAAGAAATGCCGCTTTTTACGTTTTGTAATAAATAAATTGTGATTGCACTTGTCTTGTACATATTTTTAAGAAATGGTTATGGTTAGGTTTAGAGGTAGGAGAGGGATTAGTGACTCAACATATCTTTTTAATGATATATTGTTACTAAACATTTTGGTCTATTATGTTTTATATATACTGGCTGCACACTTGTTTCTCTGATGCGTAAGGTCTATAAAATTATTATGTTTGGCAGTAGGGTCAAGGGATCTAAAAATCTAAATGGTTTATCAAGAAAAGTGTATCAATACAAATATTTTTATGATATAATGATTGGTAAATATTTGACTGTTTTAGCTCTAAATACGTAATAATGTTTGTTTTAAATATTTCAAAACGTCCAAATTTTAGCATCAATGAAAACATACAAAAATGCATGCTTTATAGCTGTATATGTTACACACTTAAACCTACGTGTAAACAATGAGACCAGTCTGGGTTTTCAGCATTTTAGAGAGCATTCTCGCTACCACCAGTAATTCTTCTTAAGATCTCAAAGAGTTACAAAAGGATTGTCCGCTTACTAGAGCCAATCTCAGTTCGATGCTGAAATATCTGGAGATTTGTACAAATGAGAAAGGCTACATAACTATCTCAAAAAGATCTTTGGGAGGAGTTCAGTGAAGACTCTTGAATTAACAATTTCATAAAATAAACTAAAGCTAACTATTTTTAGCAACAAAAAAAAACATATGCAGCTACGCAACTGCTCAAAAATAGCAATAAGTAAGCAATTCTGGATTTAACTTCAAATGCATCCATTGTTACCTAACTGTTCTCTGTATATTTGATTAAATATATGTATAAAAATGTATTTGATGAAATACAAGTATATTTGATCAAATTAAAATGATTTTACATAGTTGAAGTAGAATGTTTATAAAAGTTAAGGCCTAAAACTATAATTACCAATTATAAAACTGTAAAACTATAAATTATTATTGTATATTCAATACAATGTTGTCTTTCAGATTCAGTATGCCATTTATTTGGCTTCATTTTGTATGTACAGTATCACTGCTGCTTGCATACATGTTATCTCTATAATACCTGAATGTGTCTTGTACCACATGGCTCCCACTCTATTGTTCTTCTTGCTGTATCGTTTGCTTATCATTTAGTGAAACTAAATGTATATTCTAATACAGTCACCTATGTGGAATTTCGTTCCTGTCCATGAGTGGGTATTATTGGGTTCAAGGTTTGATAATGGGGTTTCAGTCTGCTTTGACACAACACGTTTCTCTGGTTCTTGTTCTTACTCACTTGGTATGAAGTATTGGTTGACTCAAAGTACCACGCCACACTACTCATATATTAAAGCAATATCATATGACCGGGAGTGTAAATGTAATATGGGTTTAGGCAACAGTTCGACAGAAAAGAAAATAAGGAAAAACCAATGAGTGTCCCAAAGACCATTTTGTGTGTACTTAAAAACCCCAGATTCAACCTGTTTAGTTCAAAAGATGTGTCTGCCTCAATTACTTGAAATTTGGAATGCAGCATAATTATTATTATTTTTTTGTACGTTGTTGTGTTTCTGGTCTCCCACATTTGTATGCGTATGAATAGACGTCAATGAAACAAAAAAACTGTAGTGTGATAGCACGCATGATTGAAACTGCATTTACTGAAATGTTTTTTGAACCAACTGATTGAATGAGCATATGCGTATGAATAGACGTCAATGAAACAAAAAAACTGTAGTGTGATAGCCCTGTAAAAAGCAGGCAGCACGCATGATTGAAACTGCATTTACTGAAATGTTTTTTGAACCAACTGATTGAATGAGTGATTGATTGACTTGCTCATAATGACACAAGAGCAGAAATTCCATTCATTGTAATGTAATTTTGTGGGTGCAATTTGTTCCAAGTCAGCAATGGTTTATGTATAGTTACAATCTCAACCCGTCGCTTTAAAAAAATACTCTCCAAAACCAGTATATTTTTTGTTAGATGAAATTTTAGTTAGACTATTTTGTAGTTTCAATGCTATCAGTCATCATCTGTGAACCGGTGTGTCAACCCCTCTGGTATAGAGCAGCCGCAGAGCAGGATCCCAGGAGAATGATCAAGCACAGAGAGCCAGTATACCACCATAACTTTCTCAAGTTTATTAAGGAACATTGGTCATATTTATACCACAGATACATACAACAACATAAAGTCCTGGACATCCAATCAAAGTACTCAATATGTGCATGTGAGCATATTTGTGTATGTGTGTGTTTAGTCCCTGTTTTTGTGTGGGTGTACCAATGTGCCCAAAGTCTAGTTCTTGTTTTGGTTGGGGCTTCTGTGATGAGCCCATAACAAAAGGGCAGTCAAAAATGAAGCCCAAGAACTTACTTTCATATCTATGGTATTTGTTCCTAGTGTCTTACATAGTCAGGACATAAAGACAAATTGTGATTAAAATTGTTGTTTTACCTTGAAAAAAGGTAAACTATTTCACTATTTTATACTATTTTGAAATAGTATGATTATAATGAGAGATTAGTTTAAAGAAGGGAAGGTAATTTGGTTCAAAAACATTTTTTGTTATGCTGGTTGAAAGAATCTTCACATCTCGATAGCAATCACTAAGTGGTCTAAATGTATTTGTATGTATTTATATAATCTGTGGAAGGCGTTGGACCATAAAATATTTGACCAATCAGATTATTCGGCCTGAACATTACAATAGGCTGTCCTACCTGCCTGTCAATGTATGTATTCACATACCTCAGCTCCGCCCACCTTGTTGGCACAGACATGATACGTCATCAGCATGGTTCATTACCTAATTGCAGACCTAGCGACAATGGAAAGCGTTATTGTTTTAAAATTATGTGCTTTAAACTATAACGTTTTTTCACCTTGCTTTCAATGCTAGCTTGCTATTGCTAGCCTTTGTCAAAATCCCTGCCTGTGTTTCCTGTTTCTGTGTCATGGGCTCTTATTTTCTAGTTCTGTGTTTCTTCTGTTGCTTTGTTCTCGTCCTGTTTCTATGCTGCTCTGTTCCCTTGTTTGTTGACATGGACACTCGTTTGACCACAACCACTCCTTAGTTTCTATGGTTACTCATTGGTGTTTTGTCCTCTGGTCTGTATTTCTACTCCTGTGTCACAGTCCTTGTTTATTGGTTGTGGCTTTACTTTATGAAAGCTGTTATGTGTTCCTGTGCCTGAGTTCTCTGCCTTGTTTTTGGTTTTAGTGGATTTGTCTTTTGTTTGTCTAATGAACATCGCTGGACTTAGATTCTCACCTTTGCCTGCATGTGACAGTAACCTTTGTGGTTGTGATTCAGTTCAACCGGTTTGTCTGCCACCTGGAATATAGAACCAAAAAAGGGAAAAGGCATGGTCATTCATTTGCATGGAATATTTCTGTACACAGCACATTTAAGAGCCACTGCTGTTCATGCTTTTAAAAAGAGAAAAATTTGCAGCAACGCATGTTTCCAGAGGTCGTGCATTTTATTGCTATTTAATCAATAACATCATCAACATCTTGTATTTTTTTAAATCACTAAAGGTGAGTGATGTAAATATTCATTTATTTATTTATTGAGAGCATAAGTAGATAGTAGATAATCAGATAATTGGTAACAGACATGGCAAATGTTATATGTTTTCAGAGTTCAAAGTAATGTATTTATTTTTAATTTATATTTAAATCAAAGAAGCAATGAATTCTTTATTGTATGCTGGACATGCTGATGTGACCTGAACTCAACTTTTACTCTTTGGTGCTTTTTAGAGATTCTCTTTATTTAAAATTAGCTGACCATAGTGACAATACCTGGAACTGATAAAAAAACATTCTGAATTTGATCACAGACTCAGAAAAACGACAAAAGATTTTAATCATACTTACTATATTAAAATCATAAGTTGCAGTTTTACTTCAAGAGATGCATATGGGGAAAATGTTAAAGATGTTGCAAAAAATTGTGGTTAGAAATTATATTTCAGTCTTCATCATCCACATAACAAAGGTGTTGCAATAGGCTATACTGATAAGTTAAACACACCCTCCACAGGCAGTTTTATTGTACTTTTCATCAATACCGGTCAATAATAGAAATACATGTATGTAACCATGCAAGGAAAAACACATGGCCTTGTAGCTACTTTTTAAAATATTTTTATCAGACTGCCGAATTGTCTTGATTGGGGGGGACTTCAATACATTTGACTTTGAGTATCCATCTGGATGCTAATATGAGCTCCTGTTCAGATAAAATGAAGTGCCCTGCAGCTTTAACTTGAAAGACTTTTTTATTTTGAGAGATCAGTTTTTTTAATTAATCAGTATTTGGGTAGCTTTAGTACATTATGTTGGTATTATGCTGGACATTCAATTCTATTGTTCACACACTTATAACTTCTGTCTACTATATTTCATTCATGTGACCCTAAAACATTTTATCATTCAAACATTTTTCCTCCTCAGATCTTTTCAGTCTAGAGAATATGACCAGATCTTTTAAACTTATCACATGGAACACGTGTGGCATTAGAGACACAACTGATGTCCCTGACAAAAGAACAAAGATTGTACAAAGGCTGAATGAACTACAAGCATCTGTTGCATTTCTTCAAGAGACACATATAGGTATCAATGATGTTAGCCATCTTAAAGACATTGATGGATGGGAACCATATTTCAGTGTTCATCATCCATGTAGCAAAGGTGTTGCAATACTGATAAAAAATGAATCGTCTTTTGAGCATATAAAACACGATATAGAACCCACAGGCAGCTACATTGTACTTATCTGCAAATTATACGGTAAATGCTTCACTCTAGTGAATGTATATAACCATGCAAAAGAACACAAAGTTTTGCAGTGTCTTTCTGAATATCTACGTCAGACTGCCAGAGGTGTCTTGATAGTTGCAGGGGATTTCAATACAGTTCTAAACACAGATCTTGACCGGCAGTATCCAACTGGACACGCAGAGCCCCTTAGACCTTATCTGGAGGAATTCATCTCGTCTTTAATGCTTGTAGATGTCTGGGGACTTAAGAATTGTTGTAAAAGAGATTCATTTACTCGTTTTCCATGGAAACCATCCAAACAAAAAAACAAAAAACATCAAGTCAGAAGAAAAAGAAGATGGGTGCATCAAGACTAGACATGGTTTTCATGCCACGAAATGATGTGTGGCTTGTTGAGAGCTGTGAAATGTGCCAAGTTCAAAAGGATATTTCAGATCACCTCCCTGTAGTTCTGAGTGTGTGTTTGCCAAAACCAGAGTACACTACAACCGTTCTCTCAAAAGACTTGATAGCTTGTCCTAGTAGCTTCAAAAAAGCTACGGTCTTCCGAAAGAGGCCTTATGAGAGGATGGCAGGTGAAATCAGTGAAGCTGAAGTTTTGAAAGCTTTAATGTCTCTTGTAGAATATGAAACCCCACTTGGGGACAATATGGAAACCTTTAAGGTTAACAAAGAGCAAAAATCACTAAAACTTAAAAAGCTTTTTAACCAAATGGTTACAGAAGGAATTCCAAAGGGCTTCACTGACAGTGTGGTAGAAAACGGAAGGCACCACTTTAGAGCAGATTACATGATACTTGCCACTATACTTGTTAGGCGATTGGAAACATTTCTTCAGCCCTCATTTAAAACTAAACCAATGAAAAGGAGTTACAAACTCTTCGTTGTTGTTAGCCTTTGCAGGATGCCTGAAAAAATCAAAAATTATTTTTTAAAACAAGCTTTGAAATCACTGACGCAGATCGATCCATCACCTCCACGTGACTTCAGGATTGTGGAAAACCTGCTTCCAAACATTGGCCAATATAAAGAGCTTAGAAAAGGCTGCCCACTTACACTGACTCTTTTGACAATGGCTCTGAAACACCTAGCATGTAAGCTAAATTATTTGAAAGAATCTATGGTTGATGTATGCCATCATAGAAAATGCATTACAATCTACACGCACAATGACAAATATGTCATTCTAAAGAAACAAATAAACAAGTTTAATTTCAATTCAGGAATTGCTCTTTCACCAAAAGTAGGCCGGGTTTGGAGAAAATGAAGTAGGCCTAGACATGATAGAGGGAATGGATGGTTAGGATGGAGATGACTATATGATTAAAACTGGAATTGCTCTACCTAAATAATTAAACAAACTTATAACAGCTGAAATACCAAAAAGCTTAGGAGAGTAAAGTGAACATGCCATAGTCCTGCTGTAGGGACTATGTACGTAATGTAAGATGCCTAAAGGCTGGAATACACGACACAATATTTAAAATCTGAACAGATTAGGCATCATACACTTACCGACTTTGTAAATTCCTTTGTAGACAGAGGAAAACTGGCCTTAATACTCTCACTACACGACTGAGGGTGATACACTAGCAGACTTTGAAGCCATTCCGATCACAACAAACTCATGCAGAAACATGGGCCTTGTTGCTAGGAGACGATTGACAAATGTAAACAATGTGTTCTAAAATCGGCTGAAAATATCAAACATGTTCCAACTAGGTGGAATCAGATTCTGAAGCTAAAAAAATCGGAGTCTGTGACCATCATACACTACGTGATTTTCTATGGAATCTGTCATCTCAAATCTGCAGACTGGCTCTGACTTTCAGCAACTAGCGTCAACTTCTCCAGACTGTAAATCAGTGGAAAAAATCAGGGCAAAAATCGTGCAGTGTATTCCAGGCTCAAGACAGCACAACAGGGAGACCGGAAGGACAGCTGAGCTGACTGTCCTTGCAGTGGCAAACCATGTGTCCCTCAGACATGTTTGAAAACATGCAAGAGCCTTGGTTGGTGCAAAAATGAGGAAACATCTCACGGCAAGAACTGGCAAACAACTGGTCCAGTCCATGTTCATACAAATATTTACACATAAGAAATTTGTTGGAAATAAAAGCAGATAACATGAAAGGACGTTTCTATTTTTGCTGAGTTTAGCTCATGTAAATAAGAAATAAGCATGTCTCTCTAGATATCTGTATAATTTTGTATTATTTTTCTGTTACTGTTTAATCTTGTATTGTGTGGTCTTCAGTTAAGTTATTTAGAGATAAGGGAATGTCTCCATCAAGGTCATTAATGTTATAAATAATTATCCATTGCATTTCATTCAGTATAATATCACTTTTTGAAAATGTATTGTAAATGTAATGCAAATAATGCAGTTCTTGTGCAGTCCATCACATTTCCACAGTGGCAAATTTCACTCAGAATTTACTGCAAAGAAGTGTTTTGGTAGTGTTTATTGTCCTAACAGTTATTGTCTCCAAGAGGATTGTGAATGGAATCTGATGAAATTCAGCATAAAAATATGCAAAACAAAAAAATTCTGAAATTCCCTTTCACAGCAATAAAAAAATAAAAGTTTTTTTCTGTACTTTTTACTTGATGTTTATACCAAGTATATCTATAATACAAATAGACATAGTATAAAAAGAAATGGTATAAAAATAGGTAGCCTTTTAAAAGATTTATCCAACCTTTATCATTGACCAATAATCACACAACACACAACCAGCAGTTTAAATCAATGGTTGTTGTAAAGCGTGCACCTCAAAAGTATAACAATAAAATGTAGTGACGTGACACGTGGCCAAGTATGGTGACCCATACTTGGAATTAGCACTCACTCACTCAGAGAGCAGTGAGCAGCCATTTATGCTGCGGCAACCGGGGAGCAGTTGGGGGTTCGGTGCCTTGCTCAAGGGCACCTCAGTCATGGTATTGAAGGTGGGAGAGAGCACTGTACATTCACTCCCCCCACCTACAATCCCTGCCGGTACGAGACTCAAACCCATATCCTTTAGGTTACAAGTCCAACTCTCTAACCATTAGGCCACGACTTCCCCATGTATGTGCAAAAGCTATAAATCCTGTTCTATAATTTTCAATCATGGCAACAAGTGTCAGTGCGAGAAACACATAGGGTGTATAGTATGTGTACAAACATGTGGGATACCGACATTCAAAATCACTGCTTAGAAAATTAATATCGAACTAATGTCCAAAATTAACAAACGTTATCTGCGTAGTTGCAGATAACTACAAATATAACCACACACAGACTTTACGTAATGTCTTGGTTCAGTTGCAAGTGTTTTTTTGTTTCAGTGAGGAATGATTCATGGTGACTCATAACACGCACACCTTCTCTTTTGTGGGACTGTCCACATGAACCGAGTTTCTTAAACAGCGTCTCTGTGGAACAGCTGCCATCTAGAGGAGACAAACAGACCTCCTGATATGAACTGAAGGTCAAAACATTTCTGAAGATTGTGACTTGTAATAGAAGTACAATAATTATTACAGTAGAAATGAATCTGCTCTCCTATTAATCTGATATTCACTTATCAGAATAATGACGGGAATTTCAAATGAGATCATCAGATAAAAACAGCGTGGCCACACATGTATAAAAAAAGAAAAACATAAAAATAAACAGGAGCTGACTTTCACCTTCAAATAACATACGAAACAGGAATTTACACCGTCAAAACAACAGCTTGAAAAACATTAGCTTTTATTTTGTAGCTCATTTTGCCGTGGAAAAATAGACAAAGTTCTTCACAGAAGATCCTGATCACTTCACAAAAATGTGAAACACTCAAATTACAAAGAAAATGACATTCCTACATACTAAAAACTATATTTAAAAAGTCTGTAAACTGATTGTTCTGTTTTGGCAGACATGAGTTGCATCTGAAAATATGAAATTAACAGAAAACCATCAGAAACTAGAGAAACAAAAACATTGATCATTACCACAGAATATATATTAACATTCTAAAACTTATAAAGGGGACAAAATAACTTCACTATTAGAAGTGAATTGAAAAAAATCTGAACATCTGAAAAATACTTAAATGATTTAAATAGAAACATTTCCAGCTTTTATTATTTTGGGCTATTTTGATTCTCTTGCATATCAATAATTATGTGAGAAAAAGATGTTGTATGAACCTGATTAAGTGCCTTATTAAACACAAACATGCAGACCAATCAGAGGAGTCCATAATAGGAAATGACTGATCATGCCCCACAAGTGATGAACAGGAAGTAGTTCTTTCTCTTCCTGTGTGGTCCAGGCAGGCCGTCACTCAGTCACACAAATTACAAATTTGAAAGAAATTCAAGACACAAAAATTCCAGGATATTCCAGGTAATTCCAGAGTTCTGCCAGGTTGCTTAAAGTCAATACAGCAAAATCATTTTTGAAATGCTGCGGCTTTGGTTTCAATGTATTCCTTTTTTCAAAGAGAAAAAACTAATTGTACAAAAAGTTTTAATTTTTTCCCAAGTTGTTGATGATTGGATATGTTAGTGATCACATGTATGAATGGTCACTCTGTCCCTGATCTTTCACTCAGTAGTACAAACAGCAGGAGCTTCATCCTCCTCGTCTTTGGCTCAGTTTGTTGTACAGTAGGACAGAGGGGGAGCAGGGGCTTGTAAAGGAATGTCTGACTCTTAAGGACAGATGGATTCAAAGAAAATGAACAGTAAGATAAGCTCTTTGAAGGTAGATTAGTGTCGCTCTGTTACAGAGTGAACTTTTATCAGAGCAGACAGGAGTAAGAAGCCACTGAGAGTGGACGGAGAGAGAGAGACTGCCAGGAAGGAAATGGAGGGATGGAGATTAATAGCGTGACAAAAATGACAGAGCAAAGGAGTACGAGAAAGAGAGAGAGTCTGTCTGTGTGTGTTTGTGTGTGTGTGTGTGTGTGTGTGTGTAATCCACAGAAGTAGAACAAGCATTTACTGTAACGCAACTGGCTACAGAGGAATATCTGCAGCAACAGAGCACTTGTTTTCAGGTTATAAGTTTTAAGAAGAGATATTAGAGAAAATAAGGCAACAAGAGGAATAAGAGGAGAGAAAGTCGTCCGACTGTCACAGGATGGACAGCGCTGCTGTGTGACGGTCTCTCTGTGGCTATAATAATCATAAAAAGTAAAAAAACAAAAAACAAACAGACAAATAAATATGATGTTAAAACACATATGCAAAGAAAAACAATATGTAACTGTTTTTGTCCATTTTAATATTCACATAATCATCCAGCATCTTTTATGTCTCCTCAAAACTAAGAATGCAGTTTTATATGAATAAAAATAGACCAAGAATAAAAAATTAAAACCATGATAAAAACATATTTATCATATAAAAATTATCAAAATAATTTATATATTTTTTTTTATCATTTATATTTATATATATGACACACACACACACACACACACACACACACACACACACACACACATACATACAATGCATATAATTAAATCATTTGCTTTTTTAATGAATAAAAAAAATAATAGGAATTTTGTAATTCTATGTCATATTATAAACCAAGGGAAAAAACTGTATGGCAATAAACACTAACTTTCTTGTCACACACACACTCTCACTCACTCACACACACACACACACACACACACACACACACACACACACACATACATACAATGCATATAATTAAATCATTTGCTTTTTTAATGAATAAAAAAAATAATAGGAATTTTGTAATTCTATGTCATATTATAAACCAAGGGAAAAAACTGTATGGCAATAAACACTAACTTTCTTGTCTTGATGATTCAGATGTTGCTAGAGGATATAAAAAGAGGGTGGGAGAAAGAAAGACAGACATGTGAGGTGTAAGTACTTTTTACATTTTTTTTTTTTGAGAGCTACAAACTTGGAACATCATTCTTGAGAACAAATGAGAAGAAAAATGCACATAGAGACACATTTACCATTACATTCAGGCAGAAACATACTGAAAAATTACTAACGGCTGCGCAACCCCAAAATACATCCTCAATGCAAATTCTCTTAAAGGTCGCACACAGAAAGATAGCGGGGGAAAAAATGAAGGTGGAAGGAGATGAAAGATTCTGCAAGAAACAAAAAAGTGGACTGGGAGGATGAACAAGAGAAAGGAGCGTGGAAAAGGAAAGATTTAGAGGGGGGAAAGGAGCAATAGATACAAGACTCAACAGAGAAGGGCCACAAAAGCAACAAAGATAGAGTGATGGAGCGAAACACTGGAGAAGACAGAGAAGAGAAAAGACGAGAGGAGGAAGTGTGAGAAAAGCAGAGGGAGAACGAACAGGGAAGCCAAGAACCTGAAAGAAGGTCAGATGGCAAAAGGAAAGAGACGAAAGTGGGAAGGAGGGAGGGAGTTTGTGTCTGAGTGTCACTCTCTCAACAGGGGGTCAGACTGAGAAACATAGTGAAGAAAAGATGAATGGAGAGAGAGAAAGAGAGAGAGATACAGAGATATCGCAGAAGTGGAGGAAAGTAGAGCGTAGTAGACTAAACAAGAGCAGTTGCATAAAACTATAGAGTGAGTTGAAAGTAGAGGACAAGTGTACAAACAAATATGTAGTTCACACTTAAGATACATTTTAAAAAGAATCAACGTGAAAAAAAAATAGTTTTAAATTAATTTGAGTGGTATTCTATGACGGCTTCTTGCCTTCATTGGTATGTTTGTTTAAAATGGACAAATAACAATAATAAAAAAATGGTTTTAAAGTTACAATTAATTTCATGTACTTTCTCAGTTAATCTGCTCATACAAACTGCATGTATAATAATTATAAAATATTTGGAAAAATGGTTTACATAGCTTTAGACGATAGCATTTCACACCGCAGGACATGTCAGTTTTCCAAAAGCATTTCACGTCAACTAATTGCCTGCTCGTTAAACAAAATCAAGTTAACACATATTAGTTCAAGTTAGTTTAACCCATTAATAACACTTGACCAAACGGAGAGATAAAATCCTTCGTTAAAGGTTTCATTCAGATATGCCTTCTTTTGAAGAGGACACTGACTTTTGTCAATATTTACAGTCAAGAAATGAGAGAAAATGTGTGCAGATAAAATGAAACTGCCTCATTAGAAAAGAACTACAAATGAGCATCAAAACAATAGAAACATGTCAAATTAAATCATAGCAAATGAAAAGTTCAAAAACATAATATTTATAAATGTAATGCATTTATAACGAACCACTAATCAAACATTGTTCGACTTCATCATATATAGATCATGTACATTTACATTAAGTCATTTAGCAGATGCTTTTATTCAAAGCGACTTACAAATGAGGACAATGGAATTAATCAAAATAAAACAGAGCAATAATATGCAAGTGCTATGACAAGTCTCAGTTAGCCTAACTCAGTACGTGTAGCAAGGACTTTTTTTATGATTATATAATAAATAAAAAGAAAACAAATAGATAGAATAGAAAAAGAATAGAGAAAGCTAGAGATAGAGGGCCCTTTTTTAAAGAATACAAGCAGTTAGAAAACAAATCGTTTTTTGTTAATTATATAATAAATAAAAAGAAACCAAATAGAATAGAAAAAGAATAGAGAAAGCTAGTGTTAGAGGCTTTTTAAAAAGAAAACACGCAGTTAGAAAACAAATAGAGTGCAAGTCTTAAAAGTTAAAGTGTTGTTTTTTTAAATAAAAAAAGAAAACAAATAGATCAAATAGAATTTGAATAAAGAGTGCTAGAGTTAGAGGGTCAAATAAAGATGGAAGAGATGTGTGTACCATTCTTCGTCATTTTTCCCCCCACATTTATCTCTCCACAAATCAAATCTTGGAATACAGGAACGTATGAAAAGGGATTTTCAAATTTGAAATGAATTTGAATGCTAAACTAGTTTACACGACAAGGGCATGCAATGATTAATCTATAATTGCTATAGCTTAAAGGATTAATCTATAATATAGGATTTATCTATAATTGTTTTAAACAAAAATAAAATGAATAAATAAACAAATCATTATTAATATGATTAAACTAAAAATATTTTTTTTACAATACACAAAAACAGCGTGCAATGTTTGATTTTGATATGCTGAGAGGAGTCTCAATTAAACAGTTGTTTACATCTAACAACATACAAAAAAAGTTCAAAGTAAACTTATTTAATCCAAATAAAAAATCTGCAAATATAATATATATATATTCATTTACAAAGTAATGGTAAATTTATGTATGCAATCACACAAAACCTTAATCAGGCATTAAATAAAACTCTGATAAATACAATTTGATAAGATTATTATTGATATTTTCTAATCTTCTATAATTACCATTAAAATATACCAAAGTAGCCTACATTATCTACATCATTTTTTTGCATGTTGTTTTAAATAGAAATGTCAGCACTTAACTGAAAAAAAAGGAAAAAAGAGAATTAGTCTTGAAGAAAAATATATTATTTGGGCAAAAGTTTAAACCTTTTTTTCTCTCTTACTAAAGTGAAATGAAATGTTTGCTTCAACAAGATGGCAGTTTTTTTTGTTTTCAAGCACAAAATGGCTGCAGTTGTGCTTTCCTTGCATAAAACATGTCTGCCATGCTATGATGCAGAGAACGCGAGAGATGGAGAACAGACGAGAGGGAGAGAAAAAGCTTCCCTGCTTCATTCATCTCCGCAATTTTACCCTTTACTTGTTATTGCTAAACGAAAACATTCGACTGACATGCCGAAAACGTAAGAGTATTTCCTTGTTTATATTTTCCGAAAAAACGGTCACTTCAAGGAAAAAGCTACACTTGTGTAAAGGCACCGAATTAGCGTTTTTTCTTATTCTCGCTTTAGAAAAACGCTCTGGCGAATGACAAAACTAACAAGGCGAGAGAGGTGAATAAAAGGGGGAGGACGAGGTATCCACTGAGGTGGGCAGCGCAAAACGGACAGAGTTTCGGGGTTTTAAAACAATTAAAAACTTTGAGAAACGGACAGAAACTGGAAAAGGAAATGGTGTGCTCACAGCAGGACCGAGCCAGTTAAAAAGAGTCGAAAAAGACAGGGATCAATTAGAGAGAAAGTAGAACTGACTGAAGTGGTTTTTCACAGCGGGGGAGAGAAGGACCGAGAAAGACGCTGAATGAGAGAGAGGAGGGGGAAAAAAACAACAACAGCAGAATTAATGTTTTGACAAGTTGCCCCGAGTAAGTGCAGGGAGCGGAGCAAAGTGAATAGGATGAAAGACGAGGGCACCCGGGAGCTGTTTTCCATGAGACGCCGCTCAATCAAGACCGAATATTGCCGAGTTTTTGGTCTGGTTGTGCTTTTATAGTTTGAGCGAGGGGTCTTGCTACCAAACTCCAGGTATGAACATCACAAAGCTTTTATTGTCTTTCTTCTCTTTTTGCGATACATACGAGTGAGGGGATGGATTTAACTGCGACACATTGCCAGCATTTGGGGATCCTTCAAGCATGTTGCTGGTTCAGGGGGAACCATTTCACTGTTACACTCCATGAATCCATCATGCTCTATAATGAGCGCTACATTCAGTTATTTCCTATATACCAGACTTCGAATAATTTGCATGCAGCTCAATACATCTCAAATGAATAGAAAAGCTTATTTCACAGCGCTAACCAACCTTGCAACCAACTTGTGACTGGATTCCCTCTGGTATTACTGATCTATTTGCAGTCCTTAGCTTGTTCTGTTTTCCATGAGCCTGGTCATTAAGGCTCAAATGACCTAGCGAAATGAGCTCGACTTAATTAAACTTTAAATACAGCTTGCTGCTGGTGCCGCGTGACTGAGTTTTAGCTCCGGCTGCAGCTGTAATGTTGTTTCCGCGGTGAACACTGACAGGACCCTCAGTCCAACACGGTCTGTCAGATAAAAGACCTGCCACAGGAAGGAACCGAAGTCGATTTGTGGCACTACCAGGAGGGACAAACACCAGCTGTGCAAAACATGCCCTGGCGCAAAGTCACGTCACACACACCTCTCCTTTCATTCATCTTTACATACAAATGATCAGAGGAAAACAGCACAGGAAAAATGCTGTAAAGGTGTGCAAGAAGGTATGCGAGAAGATGGAGGGTCTGAAAGCAAAATGTGGTGGAGAATGCAGAGATATATGGAAGCAAATGAGGATAATAAGAGCAAGTATTCATTTTAAATGTTGCTTTTAGGCTCGTAGAAAAGAAACCTTGAATGAAATACATTTTAGTCGATGTCAGGAAGGGTTGAACCGTGGTCAATGGCAATAAATATTACAATTTAATGGCAAATAAAATATACACACAAAATTGCAGAATGTAAATGAACATTTATTTAGCTTGTCATGGACGACGAAATGTTAATTGGACTAATCGAAAATTAAACCAAATAAAATAGTGAATAAATAAAAAAGTAAACGCATGAAAACATTTACTTTTATCTTTCTGATAAAGAAAAATATATATATATATATACTGTTTGAAAAAAAATAATAAGAGAGATACAAAACCTCTCCAAAAGATTATGAATAAAATATAAATAGATATAAATAATTAAAATAATAAATTCTTTTTTGTATTATATGATATTATATAATATTAGATTCAATTATATTTTATTGTATTATATAACCCATTCTTACTGCACCAAAAAATAAAAATAAAATGTGCGTTATACCTTGACAAAGAAAGAAAGAAAAAAATATACTGCTAAAATTATATGATATTATAATAATAATAATAATAATAGTAAAATATATATTATATAACATTCTTCTTACTGCACAAAAAAATATATATACTGCTAAAGAAAAAAAACACATACTGTTTGAAAAAATATTAAGAGAGATATAAAACCTCTCCAAAAGATTATGAATAAAAATATAAATATCAATAATTAAAAAAATAAATAGTATTTTGCATTATATTATATAATATAATATTAGATTAAATTAAATTATATATGTTATTGTATTATATAACACATTCTTACAGCACAAAAAAAAATACTAAAAATGTGCGTAATACTCAAGTATACTTATGTTAATTGGCCAACCAAGCACAGCGGTCAACTAAAATGCTTAAAAATAGTCAAATATATATGTATGAATATAAACAGATGCGTCTATAACTATTCAGGAACATGATGCAATGGACAGATGGAATGGAATATGAGGAGAAATCCAGAAATGGACAGAGTTTGAAGAGAGTGGAGACTGTAGAAAGTGTAGTGGATAAGACTCTGATTAGTTTTGCTCCGGTAACGACAGATCATAAAAATGAGGGAGGGAAGGAAAAGACTAAAAGAAACAGAGAGGGGGAGATTAGTGCCACTCCAGGAACGACTAAACACTAGGAGGAGAAAGAAAAAAAAAGGAGGGAGGGAGAAGCAGGGATGCTACAGTTTAGTCTGGATTAGTTTCGGTCAGAGAACAGAAAAAGAGGGAAAGAGCGGGATAAAAGTGATAGACCATCTGAAGCGAGAACATGAGAAGAGGAAAATGTGCAAAGACGAGGAAGAAAAGTTGTCATTCCACGCATTCATTAAAGCATCTACCACGGATAAAGTAAATGTTAGTCCGATTGAATGAAGAACCTTTTCCTCCTCAAAACAACTAAAAACTCCATCTTCCCTTGTCAAATTTTGCTCCTAAAATAAACAACATCCACCTCAGATCACGATGTTTCACATACAAACATTTCAAATCAATTGCACAAGCATTTTCTGCTCCAACCACAAGATATTTCTCCCTGAAGGTTACACAACACATCTCCTTAAAGGCTTCAAGAATTTGATTTCACAACAGCAAGTTTGTTTGATTTACTTTATGTGGAACAAATGCAATGGTTACCCACTTTTCCAACTATGAAAAAGTAACTTAGATATTTAAATACAGTACTATTGATCTCCAGTCAAACTAGACTGTAACAAACATAAAACATTTTCATAGCTGATGAATAAGTACAAATGGTGTCATGAAAAGTTAGAGAGAGTGCAAGAAGCCAGAAGGCAGGTTTGGGGCCGGGACAGGACTTGGATATTGGGTTCGACAGCTTTTGAGTTGGTGTGCGTGTCTGTGCATGTGTGTGAAGCAGGAGGTGGAATTGGGTCGGAAGGCTTACGGACCCCACTGCCATTCCCACTCTTACTGGGCGGCATTCCCTGCTGATCCCGCATCAGCCAAGCAGAGCGGAAGGTCAACATAACTGCAGGGGTCTGAGAGCCAGCCTCGCTCCACGCACACGCACACTAACACGCACATACGCTTTCACACATCATGTTATAGCAAAAGGAAAAAGAAATGGCAAATAGAAATATGTGCAAATAATTTTTAATAAAATATCAATTGACAACAGCTAATAATAAATATGATTTATGATTACTGTACTAGTTATAATTACAATCTACAAAAATATACATACAAATTCCCATTTCAAAACAAATGTATTTGTCTTCATATGTGTTGTTTTCCATGTACAGCAATGCAAGCCGACTTTTTAGCCAAGACTTTCTTTACAATTTATTTTGCTATTTTAATCTGCATTTTAACCATTGAGTCAGAGAAAAAAAAAAGAAGAAAAGGATGAAAAATAGAATGACGAACCAGAGAAAGGGTGAATGCATTAGCAGAAAAGGGGAAATGGGAAGAAGGTAGGCAGAGAGTAGGGAAAGCGAGCGAGCGAGTGGTTGCGTGCAGAGAGAGGGGCATGTCTGATTGCGTGAGAGGGTTTGTGTGGGGGGGTGACATGCTTTTTTTCCCAAGGAAATAGTATGGACAAAAAAAACCTAGAGGATGAAGAGAGGACTGTACTTACTCGGTGGACAACACACAGTGACTCGTAGTTTCATACATGGGAGGGGGGGTCCGTCGTCTGTGGATAGTGCTGGAAGGAAAGACAGAGAGAGTAAAACAGGAGACTGATGTCTTTGACACTGGGAAAGAGGAATATAAATTTGTTGCCACCAAATCGATGCTTTAGACTGCTCACACGAAACACAAATACACACATAACCCAGGGCCATCGATGGAATGGCTAATCCATTAGCGCTAGCAGGAGCTGTAACGAGCTCGTTAATGCTGAGCTCGGCACGAGCGATTGTGAGCCGTTCCACAAATGATGGACACTCTGATGCAGTCAGATGGGCTCTGCGCAGACATTCACACTTCATAAACTTACATGATTACACCGTTACAACATTATTTACACACTTGGAGGTCATACTTGCTTTCAGCTCATCTCTAAGTGTGATCCAAGCATGACTGCATATATTCGTTCTGAACTAAATTCCACAACACAGTTGCATTAAAATGCTCAAAACACAGTCTAACATTTCCTCAGTGGGGAAAAAATAAAGAATTAAACGTGCTCTGATTATGAAACATTCAGGATATTGACGGTAATGTGTATGTATTTTACATTACACTACACTTCTGCTTTGTTCTTTACTGCAAATTAAAGGTTGTGTGAGTGCTTAAGCCCTTTAGGAAGTCAGCTGATAGCATATAATTATATTCATTTAAGGCTATACTGAAACTGCAGCTTGTCAAGCTGCTCATTTAAAGTTGTTCAACTGCAGTCAAAAGAAGCTTTTTGAAAAAGTAGTTCAAAATGCAGCAAGCACACCGACACTGGAACTGAAAAAAGGCCTCAAAGTTGTAGGATTGCATTTTGAGTCATTTGATATCAATTTTTACACTACGTTTTCATCGAAAGTTGAGCTGAACCTGTCTGACAGATTATAACAGACCCAATTTCAGTCATAACACAATTTTGACAAAATGTGTAGTTACTGCATTTGCTGTATTGCTAATTATAGTTAAGATATTTTGTCTTTTTTCAAACAGCTATATTCACAGACACAAACATTCAGGAACCCAATTAGGGTGAAAGCATTACACTGCATTTTACACTAAATATTACCAAATAAATACCCCACAATAACTCTAAAACATAATAACGAACAGCCCCGTTTAATTAAATACTATATTATTTTGTAAAATTCATAATAGAATAACATTGTTACAAAAAAAAAATTACTTCCCACTGGTAAAAAAAAAAATAAAAATAGCAGAAAAGTCATATGGTAAAAATTTGTAGATATATTTAATGCATGAAATATATAAATGCACCAAACCAAAATGGTTGCATATCAGACCCCATGAGGCGACCATCTCCATGTCAAATAAAACAGCTTTTAATAAGACTACTGATGAGTTTTTATCTCATGAGTGCACACCATTTTAATGTATTTTGCAAAAAAATGTAATTAATTTCTACATTAAGGAAGAAAAAGAAAAAACCTCGCTGCACCTTTAAATTGATGTCTCATTCTTCTAGAGCCTGCTGCTGGTGTTTTTAGCATGCTGCCTTAACATCAAGGGTAAATCTGACATTACAGATGTAGATACAGACAGAATTCATGTATATGAACACACACACACACACACACACACATGTGCTCTATAGCGCTGTGTGTTTACACACATTCATACCTCATTAGCATCAAGCCATGTTATGAGCGCTGTAAAACTATAATGATTCTCTTCCCAGAATCTGAGCAGCAAGTCTGAGGTAGACATGCTTAAATTCAGGCTTGAGTGGGTCTGCCGTTTTAAAGAGCATCTCTGGCTCCACGTTTAATCATAACCATAAATCTATAACAGCCATTTCAGCAACACACACCACAGCAGCGGCCATTTTCATCTAGAAGAGAGGCTTTTAACCGAACGTCTAACAACCACAGATACATCCATTTAGTGTGCGCAGTAATTTCACATTGACGATAATGAGTACGGCTGACTCCAGCGGGGCTCTGTGTGTGTGTGTGTGTGTGTGGTTATGTGTGGGTGGTGTGTGTTTTGGTTTTTTGAACCCCATAGGCATTCGGCCATACCTTTTGGGTTTGTGTTCATTGCATTTGAGTGACTCTGGATTTTAAAGCAAAAGTCTGAGACCACTAGTAAAACTGCCTCTCTCTTTCTTATTGAATGCATTTTTTTCTTTAAAAATGATATAACCAGCATAGAAAATTAAGTGGGAAGTTTAATTTGAAAAAATGGGAATGATTAATGTCTTGGTATTTGGTATTGGGGGAGGGGGGGGGGGGGGTGTCAACGCCATACTGTGCACATGATAAACACAAGAATCTTGTAGAAATCTAGTTTAAAATGTGCCATGTTTTTAGAAAGTACTCTTTGTGTTCATGTTTGTTTTGAAATTCTTTTAAATACCATTTTCAAGAAAAAGTTCAAATTTAATTGCTTTCAAACATGTTGTGTGCTTAACCATCAAGGAAAAAGTAAAAATATATTTTCCTTACACAATATTAACTCCAAATATTTTTTAAAAGTAGTATCTTGAATTAATAATTAAAAAATATCATTACATTTCTGGGGATGCACTACATGACATTTCACAACTTGTAAACCAACATGTCATAAAAAGTCATACGCTTTCCTGATTTCTTCTGCATGTTGGTTGCACCATGACTTTAATTTGGCAGGCAAAGTTTTTAAAATATTAACAAGCAGTTTTGCACATTTTTTTTTATTATTATTATTTCTAAGAAATATTTTTATAAAAAAAAAACATTAATTTTAATACAAAGTGAAACACACTCATAGAAGTGTATTCAGTCAATGTATGAATTTCATGTACATTTTTAGTGTATCTTTTAATAAGAAAAAAAATCATCATCATGTCATTGACCCATGCCTCTCTGTTGATTTAATTACAGTTACACTGAAGCTGCATGAACTCCACAAGTTTGTGCAAAACTTGATCCATGTTGTTAATCGAAAAGGAAACAAGCCAATGGGAGAGTCACTTACAGGTACGTCCTGTATTAAAGTCCAGTTTGTCTTGAAAGCACAACTCTTTAGTAGTTATCTCTTCCATTTCATCCTCAAATGCTCTTGCACGCACACATACACACAGACTTAAACTACAACTTGAATTTAGATCGGACACACTGATCCCTTGTTTTCAGCTACAGGATTGAGCTTAAACAATTAAAAAGACACACATTGTTACTCTTTCTTTGAAGTGAACAATAGACAAACACACACACAGAGTATTAGGGTAGGGGTGGGATCGTGAAGTTTGACACAATGGCTCTTTGCTGTGTATACAGTCTCATGCTTGAACAATGCTCTATTGTCCAGGTCAGCACTGCTGTAATTTATGTGAAGATACTTTCCCCCTTTCTGTCTCTTCCTCTTTTTTTCCCACCCTCTCTCTGGCCTTTGTTCTCTCACTCTTTCTTTCTAGGAGACTCTCTCCTCTTCTTCTACTCTCTCACTTTCGACCATCGTCCTTCATCCTTGAAGACCCTGGTGTCTGCAGACCCTCCGTCCGCCGCTCCACGCTTTCGTTTTTTTCAGTTTATTTTGTTTTCCTACAGTATTATCGATTCTCTTTCTATTCTTGGCTTCATCATGCTATTCCTAGGATTTTATTACGACTCTTTCAGATTGTGGCACATTGATAGAATATGGTAAACTTCCAAAGTTTCAAAAATCAAAATCTAATTGTTCTTACAACATGCTAGATAAACTAAAAATCAATTTAGCATTAAAATACTAAAAGCAGCTAGTTTTAAGCATAAAATATCTGTATCCCAATAGAGTGATTTTGGCCTTTTTGGGAAAACTACAACTACAACATCACAATTTTGGTCTAATATGTTCAATTTATATTCAATTACCTATCATAATAAGAACTATTTTTTTTTAATTAACTGCAAACTGTTTAAATAACTATTTTTAATGACAAAAACCCTAATTATTTAGCCCTAATATTCATATTTTGTGCACAACCATGTTACTACATTACAAAAGGCATAACACTGCTTACAACTGCAACAGTGTAGCAACATTTGCAAATCTCATCTCAACAGCCCATATATTTTGTTTGACCTCTGAGGTTAATGTCAACATTTTCTAAAGATTAAAGGCACAATATGTAATTTTCGCCACTAGAGGGTGCATATTCAAAATAAACAAATAGACAAAGGTGTAGTTTGATGACGCCGTGACTGAGTGTGGAATCATGGGAGTTATCGTCTTCATCCCCACAGCCGAAGCAATCCGACGGAACTCTGGCAGAAATCATGTTCATGGTTGAGCTAATGATTTATTAACGTAGTAGAATGAAGCAGGGTGAGGCTGAAAGCTGTCGAAGCGAAACAAGGCCGCTGAACGAGCGTGACACACGGCTCGAAAGCAGCGGAGCTTTTATTATGCCACAGTCGACCGCTTCCGCTCCTTCCAGTCGTGCGTATGTGGAGGGAAAAAAGCAGCGCTGTTTTATCATACTAGATACATTTGAAAGTTCTGTTATAATGCTACTCTGTGCGGTCGTCATCGATCTATTAAAACGCATAACATATTAAAGTGTCTTTGGTGTTTCCATGTTTTCTACAAAACAAAACCAGAAATCGAGGGGTTATGACGTCATTAGCAGGAGACACAATGACACTATAAACACGGTCCGTGTCACTATTAAAATTGCTTATTTCTCTGGATTAAAACATTCTTCGAAACATTTGGGATAGTGTAAGTACACAAGTCAGCAAAATATATAACACTTCTAGTGGTTTTTGGATATTTAAAAAAAAATATCTTACATATTGTGCCTTTAAGCACCTTCTTTCACTGACCACAGGTAAAAAAGACAAAAAAAAAACTAAACAAATATATATATATTTTTTCCAAATAAATATTAACAAAAAATGCCTTGTGCACTTTCCTAACCCAGAGAGAGAGAGAGAGAGAAGAAATGAGAGCAGGGAATTGAAAAGCTTTGGCTTAAAACCAAAGCTGTAAAAACAGGAAAACTGTCATGTAATTTTATGGCCACAGACCATCTTTCCTTCCTTTCTGGAGCCGAGAGGATAAGGGCGGAGCCAAAAGCAAGAAAAGGAGCATTTTCACTTATACTCTCATGAATATTCATACAAAAGATACACAAGCAGATAGACACAAAAGCACAGACCAGCTCCTGCTCACCAGTGTAGTAACTATATCTAAGTTGTTGTACCTAACATTACAAGACGTAGGCTGTATTGTAATTTACGTTGTATTTAGTATTAATGTATCTGTTCAAGGTTAAGCTGTCACCTTGATTGACGTTTTTGTGTATGTTCTCCAACAGCGCAGCTCACTTACAGCTATAGTAGTAATGGTGTCCGGGCAGGAATTCAAAGCCCAGGGAGAAGGGTGTGAAGCGTTGGATCTTTTCAGAGAATCTGACAGGGCCATAGGGAGCGAACGGCTGGTTGCACTCCCATCTCTTAATGGCCTCTTTAGTCTCCACGCAGCCCCTGAACTGGCCCTCAGCCACCAGGTAGAGAGCCAGAGTCTCCACAGGGCCGCTCAACGGGTGGTCGGCAGGATAATGTGGACACAGTATATCCAGATAATCACTCAGATTGACCTGGACGGAGTAATCATCTCCTGTTAACCTGAGAGCAAGAGAGGGAGAGAGAGAGAGAGAGAGAGAGAGAGAGAGAGAGAGAGGGCTATTAGAGGGTGTATTTCTATCATGAGAGAAATTCATGGCCACAATCATTAAAATGGCATTTTTCCAAGTCCACAGAACAGATTTCAGATGCGTCAGCAAGATCTGCACTGAATCACACTCACATCGGCACTTGCTTGGCCGCTCCGTGGAATATTATTAAGAGTTAGTGATCAGTCACACAGTCACTGCTGGGAAACAAATGCTTCAACGCGTCAGAAAAATAGTTATACCTGATGATACGGATAGAAGGATGCAGAAGGATGCACAATGTGTGACTGTAAAATAAAGATTAAAGTTAGGCAAGCTACGTAAATTAGGCAAGTTTTATGTTAGGCTACTCGAGCGATAGTGCACAGTAATGCTGAAAGGAAAGAGAAACCCATGAGGATTTCAGTAAGGTCAAAAGATTCGCACAGAAGCAGATACGGACCATGGCTCTCAATAACTGCTTCATGCTAATTAGTGAGACTTTCATTCTCTTCGACTTGCCACACACACAAAGTCAAAAGTCAAGTTGCGCTAATAGGGGAAGAATTAGCATAGAATGGCCCTTAGTGGCTTGGTAAATAAATTCACGTTCCCATTTGTTTACACAATGTTGACTTTAAAAGGAAGTGTGCACAAGACACCACCAATAAAAAGAAAGGGAGAAGAGAGAGAAAGAAAGAACAACAAAGAGCAAAATAATAAAAAATAAATGAATAAAAAAACATAAAAGGGTTAACAAAAAGAAAAGATGGAGAGAGAATCAAAAAGAAAGAAAGAAAGAAAAAAAGAAAGAAAGACAAAGGATGACAGAAAATAACAAAGAAATGACAATGGACAAACTAGAATGAATAAACAAAAGAAAAAATTTAAGGATGAACAAAAATAAAGAGAGAAAAATATGGAGAAAAACAGACAGGCAGAAACAATGTCAGAAAGAAAGAAAATATGGAGAAAGAAAGAAAGAAAGAAAAAGAATGAAAAAGAAAGTGACAGAAGGAAAGAAAAAATGACAGAAATAAAGAGAGGAACAAAAAAGATGGAGAGAAAGAAAGAAAACAAAAGAAAAAAGTCAGAAAAGAAAAACGTGAGAAAGATAGCAAGACAGAAGAAAAAAGAAAGAAAGAAAGACAAAGCAGACAGAAATAATGACAGAAAATAATAAAGAATGACAATGAACAAAAAAAATGAATAGATAAAAGAAATATGAAAGGAACAAAAATAATGAGAGAAAATATGGAGAAAGACAAAGAAACAATGACAGAAAGAAAAAAAATATGGAGAAAGAAAGAAAGGACACAGACCTAGAGACAAACACAGACAGAAAGAAAAAAATAATAGAAAAAATAAAAAGTTTGCAGCTAAGTTCACAGGTAGTTAAGAAGTGCAGATCAACGACAGACTGTTGAAGAACAGGTGCGAACCAGAGCAAAGGAGCAGCGGAGACGAAGCGAGACCGGAAGAGAGGTGAGGACTGAGAGAGAGAAGGGTTAGAGAGCGGAGAGACAGACACAAGGAGGGAGGTAAAGAAAGGGTTCTATTTTAATTAGTGGCCCTAGAGAGAGTTTGGTGGGAGACAGCAAGAAGACAAGATGGATTTTAATTGGTCTTTCTTCACAGCGAACGTGCGTGTGCACCAGAGAAGGAACGCGAGCGAGGGATGAGAGGAGGCCACGGAGGAGAAGAAGAAAAGACAGGATGCGAGAGCGAGGCAGCCGGTCCAGGTCTGTCACCGGGAGTCTTTTGTGAAGAAGCGACAGAGCGAAGGAGGCAGAGGAAGTCTGAGAAGGAAAGAAGGGAGGAAGGGAGAGCACACGGGCAGAAGAATGAGGAGGGGGTTATCCAGAGTTAAGCGGGTGGACAGAGAGACAACGGAAAAAGGTTAATGAAAGACTCCAGACCAGAGAGAGAAAGAGCAAGGGAGCCAAACAGATGGAGAGCAGAGGGAGAAACAGACAAAGTTAGAGAGTAAACTAGGTATCTGACCCACCGTCTATGACCTAGTTAAGAAATTACCTCAATACCTCGTTACAGAAGCCAGAAAATACAAGATGTGGTCTGGCTGAGGTCATATTTCCATATTAAACCATCAACAGTGACTGGAGATGAAGATAAAGATCATCTCTTCATCAAACTATCATGTCATAGTCCATCCAAGATCTGACAGCAAATGTCATATTTACAAATACTGCAAGCTTGGCCAGTGATGAGACATCCATAAGTTGCTAATTAGCTGTCAAGCAAATGCAATTTTCATCAATCAGGTCCATTTGAAGGGACAATCATCTCATGTCGTGAGCGTTTATGGTGTCACAGCTGAATGAATGAACACCGGACCAGAATAAATGGAGTTTGTTTGACCTTTTCTCTTGTTTTTCACAGGATAATGCATTTAGAAATTAATCTGAGGATTAGTTTTCATGTTTAATTGCATTAGAGATCAGTACTGGATATTATTTATCGGTTAAGAAATAAAGAGCCTTTCATACCAAGGATGGTAACTATAACTATAGAAGTTTTAATAATAGTTCTAACTCTATTAGAATACTGAAATCCATACCACATCTATAATGATAATGATGTTTGGTTGGAATCACTTTCAGAACAATGTTTTCCAGCAGATGAACGATAACGTGGAAGCCTATGGAGACCAGTAACTGTTTGGTTACTAATCTTCTTTTGTGTTCGGGAGAAGAACGAACATTCATACAACTTGAGGGTGAGTAAATGATGACAGAATTGTAATTTTTTGGTGAAATATCTTTTTAAAGAGAATTTAAAGTGACAGATGATATAACTGCAGCGCGCACTTTGAATAAACAAAACGTTATCATCCATTAATATGTACGCCAATATAGTTTTTGTCATCTTTCCTGGTGTGAATAGGCCTATATGGTAGAGTAACGCCTTAGAGTATAAAATAAAATGTGTTATTGTGAGATAAAGATTAAAATAAAGTCACAGTTAGTCACAACTGCAAGATATAAAGTTACAGTTGTGAGATATAAAAACTACATTGAGATAGCAATTAGTACTGTTGGATGTTGTTGCATTTGTGATCTAGAAAGTTTCTTCAGTGGTGGAATCTTACGGTCACAGGTTATCTGTGTTTTTGAGTTTATGCTGCCTTCATGTGCTATCGCGAATTTTTCTATATACCACTTCTGAAGTTGTAATTATGAGTTTGTTGCATTCAAGTGCTTTGTTGTTATTAAATCATGGAGTATGGCCCATGAGTTTATTCTTGCCTATTTTTGGGGAAGCTTTATTAAAGTCAAAATATATAAAAAATATTTAGTCAATATTCAAAAGATTTTAAATAAAAATGTTGCATAACCATATAAACATTCACTGCATCTAGATATTCAGCTTGCTGACATTTTTGAAAATTTGGTCAAATAAATACAATTTTGACTGTGTACAATACATACAATATACAGCAAATGGTTATTAAATGGATATTTATATACATACATATACATGACTCTAATAGCAATATGGTTTTTGGGGGGGGGGGGGGGGGGGAGGGCAGACACGGACCCGACGACCATCTAACGAGAACATACTTAAAATGATCAAATAAACGGGACACCAAAGCGGTTATGTATTTATTTATTGGTTTTGCTGTTAGACTCTTAAGTTTCCCAGACGTAAATACAAAATGACATGAACAGCTTCTTCAATTTCCAACTAGGAAATTCATATTTATGATAATTCAGATAGCATGTGAAGGCAGCAGTTTATTTGTCAAGAAATGTTTCTTGAGCACCAAATCAGCATATTAGAATGATTTCTGAAGGATCAATGATGCTGAAAATTCTAAATCACAGGAATAAATTACATAAAAATATATTAAAATAAAATACAGCTGTTTGGATTTGTAATATTTCACAATATTACTGTTTTTACTGAATTTTTGTTTAAATATTTTTGGCATTTTGACTTCAAAATCAAATCTTATCGACCTTAAACATTTGAACAGTAGTGTAAAATAAGAAATTGTAAAATTTGAATAAGAATGTAAAATGAATTAAATAACATGTTTCAGTGTTTAGTAAGTTGGAACCACAAAGTGTAACCACACAAATGACAACATCAATTCAAACCAACTTCAAAAAGACTGTTTTCAAATCATGGGGAAATGCACTGCAATTACTAATATACATAAATTATTATGATGAAGCCGCTGTAAAACCACAGGCTGCCTGCAGAATTGAACGCTTAGATGGTTAAACCTACTGGAAAAAAGGTTAGCAAGACTAAATCGTGTAATTACAGCATTGTGTAAATGTGACCCTGGACCACAAAACCAGTCATAAGGGTCAATTTTTTGAAATTGAGATTTATACATCATCTGAAAGCTGAATAAATAATTTGGATTTGAAACTATTTGAAAATCTGGAATCTGAGGGTGCAAAAAAATATTGAGAAAATCGCCTTTAAAGTTGTCCAAATGAAGTTCTTAGCAATGCATATTACTAATCAAAAATTAAGTTTTGATATATTTACGGTAGGAAATTTACAAAGTATCTTCATGGAACATGATCTTTACTTAATATCCTAATGATTTTTGGCACAAAAGAAAAATCGATCATTTTGACCCATACAATGTCTTTTTGGCTATTGCTAAAAATATACCCATGCGACTTAAGATTTAAGACTTAAGTTTTGTGGTACAGGGTCACAAATGTGAGTACTGGAGCTGATCTTTGACAGTGTCAGACAACATTATACTCTAGTTATAATATTCAAACTGCTATAATTCACAGACACCAATAATTACATATAGCTGAGCTTCCAATCTTAGCACACATCTCTTTTACAGTGTGGCGGAGATGAAAGCGCAATAAACAAGCGAAGGGAAATGTGTTTATGGCTCCCTCTCCTCCTCCACACAGTGACTCGAGCGATGACACACCCGGAGAGCTGATCAATAGCTGTGACTGAGTATTGGTG